TTTAGTAACAAAAAAAGCTCCGGATATTAGTATCACAATGGACATAATTTGTGATTTTTTGTAGTATTAATACCGTTGCATTAATACTTTGCAACAAAAAGCCTCCTGTCAGCCTTCCCATCAGTGCTACTGGTGTTTGGCCCATACAAATTCAAATTCCAACAAAATGCGGCTCCTAATCATTAAAGAAAATGGGCAAGTGATGCTTGCAGTTCTTCCAATGCTCGCCCCTTGGTCTCCGGCACTACCTTCACGGTGAATAAGACCGTGAGACCGCATGCACACGCGAATATGAAAAATGTCCCTGAAAGTAGCACAAACGAGATTAAGCATAGATACTGAATATATCACACACATACACAGGAGAGAGAGAGTGTGTGTGTGTACCGGGTGCACTCCATTCGAACATGAAGCTGAAAGTATAAGTCACAACCCAGGAACAGGACCAATAGGCGAATGTCGCCAGGCTCCCGGCTGACCCTTTAATGTTCACAGGGAATATCTGCAGAGAACATATTCACTGAGAATGGTCTTGAGATAGAGATTGCCAAGTGCAGATTTAGACTGAAGCCATGTACCTCAGACATGATAACCCATGGTAATCCCCCAATGCCAAGTGAGTAAGCTACGAAATACATCTAAATGAAACAGTCGTCTGTCAGCAAACTTCATCAGCACGAGTCATTGAGCAACGGTGCAAAATGAAAAGAGACAAGGAAAAAAGGCACTCCTATGGAGACGTACAGTTACTGCTACATAGGCCAAAATTGGGGTCGCTGCTTTCCATTGATTAAGGTCCTGTTCAGCAACAGAAAAAATAGAAGGAAAAAATAAGGTCGCTTAAAAACATCAAGAATCAAGAGTAGGAATAGTTATTGTTCACGAAACCTGAATGAAGAATGATAATCCAAGAAGAAAGCAACTTAAGGACATTCCAGCTGAAGAAATCTGCAAAAAAAAGTTGGGTTCGGGCTTAGTATCACGAGAAGTGGTCTCATTAAGGCAATTATAGCAAACGTATCATTTCCTAACCATCAGAAGTGGCCGTCTTCCGGCTTTATCAGTCAAGATTACACTAAGAACAGTTGCTGGGATCTGCGAAACATGTGTAGTATCTCAAGAAAATACGATGAAATAACAAAATTCGTCTTTCACCGCAATCCTAGATGTTTAGTACCTGAATAATAGCTATGCTTCTGGTACCAAAGCTACTTGAGAAGCCTGCCAAGATAAAGCATTAAGATGACCAAGCCTTCATTATTCATCAATTTACTAACGTATTTAGCGTTTGATTTTTACCAGCTGATTCAAATATGGAGCTCGTATAGTAGGCAAATGCATTAGCCCCACCAAATTGTTGAAGCGTCATCAGCCCAACTGCTACCTAACACTTCGACAAGATTAGGTAAAGAATCGCAAGCAACTTGAATAATATGGACAGCATCCTCACCATAAGTGGATGAGCATATCGTCTTTGGAACAGATCCAGAAATCTAGACTGAGACTGCCGTTCAAAGGTCTCTGTGTAGTCCTATAAGAAAAAGTGAAATGAGGTCGCATCATAGCCAAAATATCAGATGCTCCCAAATTATGAGAAGGACATGCGAGACTGAGATATTACTCTGATATCGGCTGCTTCTTTGGTAATATTGACACCTTTGCCTCTGAGTCTCTGTAGTGTGACTTCAAACTCCTCCTCTTGGTGGACTAATACCTGCAAGCGACTATCTGCTTGTAATCTTTCTTACAACAAAAAATGCATGGTCTTGGCTTCGTCATCCAGTTCTATGTTTCTACACAATTAGTAAATTCTTACAAGGGTGGTCAACACCAATTGGATTATGATTTCAGAGTTTGATTTCCATTGAAATGTTAATACCTACGCCTCAACTCCACGAACAACTTACCAGCCATCTAGGAGACTCTGGAACGAAGAACAAACCCAAAATTTGTATGACACAGGGAATGCCACCTGAAGACGAAATCACCAAGAATGACCTTCTGATATTTCCCCTACTTATTTATCACATAACATAAAAAACGGGAGCAGAGAGACTACTGATCAGAGCCAAGATGCGCCAGGAGACAATGGTTCCAAGAAAGTAAATCATTGAAAAGCCACAGCATATCATGAACTGCAACAGAAGCCAATTGTGTGTTGGTGAGCAAATGAATTGTCTCGACTCATTCAATTTCTACGTTGTGCTAACTTTTTGACCTGATTGAATGCCGTGAATGCTCCCCGGACACTTCTAGGTGTTATCTCTGCAATGTACACAGGTACCTGTTTGGAAACAAAGATAATGATCAACAGCACGTTGGCAGTGTCTAACTTCCAGAAATTATTAGGACAATAAGTCCAAATCTTCCTGCATTTACCACATAACATACAACCCCAATGCCAAGCCCGTTTAGCAGTCTCCCAATATCCAGCCACCAAGCATTCTGCAGATTCAATGGATATACCATTAAGTGCTTACGATCTATTTCACAGCCTAAACCATGATTTGATCATTCACAAAAATAGGATGCCGTAAAAAATTTCCTTGCATCTTAGCTGGAAGCAAATCAATTGAGTAAACGGTGATCCCTTAACCAGCTAGGCAGAGAGTTTGACATGCAAAATTTCACAAATGCAGTGAAAAATCACAAAAACATCCTACAGGACCGGTATCTGAATGAACTCATCCATATGATAAGCGTGAAAGGTGGAAAATGCAATTTAAATTACTAAGCCTGTTTGTAGAATCATCTATGATGAAGAAAAATTTCTGAAGTGGCAAAAGGACGGGCAAGAACCTTGGCATATGCTATAGAAAGCCATCCAGCAGCGACAAATATTTGAGAAAGCCACATTGCCTGCATCAAAATGATATGAGAATTCCCATAAGATCTGTTGGGTTCTTCATTAAGCTTTCGAGAATGAAAGGTAGAGGTAGAGGATCACTTACTCGTCTACGCCCAATCAAATCCGTTACCCTCCCATTTACCAGAGCTGCTATTAGGCCTCCAACTGTTAATGTTGAACTGAAAAGCGAATACTGTAACACAAAAATTTGGGAGAATGTGAAGACAAGTTTTGATCCCCTTTACATTTCTCCGTTTGGTGTCACTGATACAGATGTCACTTTCGGTTAGTCTACTAAATCTCGTGAGTTTTATTTCACTCCAACAAATCCTATTTCACGGTATATTGATGGAAATCAATTAGTATAGCGGCTGATAGATGAACAATCCTAGAAATATAGCAAGAATGCTTGAGAGGACTTGCCGCTGCTGTGGAGAGGCCTAAATCCTCCATAATGCCTGACTCAGCTGGTGAAGAATAACCACTCTGCATTGCAAAAACATGCCACCAATTAATGGTACGTTCTACTTGGCGGCTGCTAATCTTATCAAGAAATGCAGCGCAAAGCACAATTGCCGAGACAATTCCGCCGTGGATGTGAAAAAAATAGTTAGGCCAAAAGTCAGTTTCAAATGGCATCTTTCTCACAAATGTGATTGAAGTAGTAAATGAGCATGATTTGGCATCTTTTCTGCATAAAGAGTGATCCTGAATCAGCTACTTGCCTTATCGTGGTTTGGGTTGATATTAATATATGGAAGCACGGTAACAAGTATCGGACTGTCCGACACATCCTCTCCTCCTCTGTCCCGTGTTTTGAGAAGAAAATGTTACAAAGTAGTCGTTGGGATAAATTATTACATTTTAAAATAATCTGGGCCATCTAATGTCTTGGTATCAGCCATCTAATTTACTAATAATTAGGCACCAAAAACATTAGTAGAGACACATTCAGGCAGAGTTGCAGACACAGGTCTTGGTTGCTTCATCTTAATTCACGAAGGCCAAAATGAAAACCCAGATTTTTCTTGAAAATAAAATGTTGACCAATAAAATAAGAACATAGAAAAAGTTTGACCAAGTTATGTTCTATTTTCCTGCTATCTTTTCCTAACAAAAAATTTCAGTAGAAAACTTGAAAGAAACCGTGACACTGCCTACTTGGCAATCATCGGAATCATAAGAAAAAAAAGGCACCCTGATTGCAAAATTGACCTCCAATTCAATATAGATGTGGGAAAAAATGAGAATCAAGAATCCATAAAAGAAAGTAGAGCTGGTTTCTTGGTGATGAATCTAAAGGTCGATTCAGTACTCACAGCACACCCAGTAACGAAAGAGCCGCTAACGACGACGAGAGTGCTAAAAACGACAAGTGGCGTGACTGCAGGATCAGTCGAAGACATGATGGAGCTGCCATGACTGCCATGGGCAGAGACTTCTTTGGGAAGCAGAAGACTTGTTGGCAATCCATCTTCTCCCAACCTTTCTCTCTCCAAACCTTCCATTTAAAAGCTCTTCGAAGTAATTCTTCAAGGAATGAAAATTGGCAAGAATAAGTCGCGAGTGAGTGTGAGAATTGAATGAGATGGTGGTGAGTCAGAGAGGCAGAGATACAGAGCTGCAAGTAACGGACTCAGTTGCATGAGAAGGTTTCTTCACTCTAAGCTTCCTGGTTATTTTATGTTCGTTTTCCACGTTTTTTGCTCTTTGATTGATCTTGTGAGTAGTTGCTCAAATTTGTAGTAGTTATAGCGGCAATTCATGCATTTCTGGTCGATGGGAGCTGCACCAAACTGCCAGTGCTACCTATATCCCACAATATTTCGGAGTACAATTTAAGATGAGAGATAGCATGGAGGGACACTCTCAAAGAGTTGAAATAAAAAAATAAAAAAATAGATAACAAGCATCGTGGGGGAAATTTTAGTACTTCTTCTCACATGCAAGCTAAACTTTTTTATTTTTTTATATCTGGGTCTGAAACATCAACTTCTCATTAATAGCTTACAGAAAAGGGACCCACCAGCGGGGTCTCACAACAGCTAAGGGCCTGCAGAGGGCGGGTCCACCAGTTCTCGGGAGGGCTTTTTCCCTGTGGGTCTTCATTATCTGGTCAGCCACACTATTTGCGGCCCTATTAAAACGGACAACGGGTTCCACGAGTGCTCCTTATGTTAACGTGTTGATGCCCACGTATCTCGTACTCTCAATTCTTTTTTAATCTTTATCTTCCTCAGGAGGAGGCCCTCTGATTGCTTTACAACTAAGGGATACGGAAGTCTGCATGAGGCCATAGACGAAGTGGTTTCTCTTGCTTAGGAGGGTCGGGCTTCCTTGATAATGCGAGTTCTTCCCACGGTAACTGATACAAAGATTTCATACTTCTCACTAAACTAATACAGTCTGACTCCACAGTCAGTCTTTGGCCCGTGGGGAGCGAAATTTCGGAGTTTCCACCATGGTGGGTTTCTGCTTGCTCGGGCGGAGGAGACGAGGACATTCTTTGCGAAGCCATTGATCAAAATCCCAAAGGAGTCGCGACGCACGCAGGCAATTGATCCTTCGTACGATCCAGTTTGGTGCGCTGCATCAATATCCACTTTTGTTTGTGCCCTTCTTGGAGAAATCCATATATCCTCCTCATCCTCCTTGTTCGCAGATACTGATTTTCTAGTCCAAGTTGCGCCATTTGCTGAAGTTTGATATTCAGAGATCTAGATATTTAGTACAGGATCATCCCACACTGCCCTTGTCCACTTGCAGAGAAGGAATATATGCTCCGGGGTTTCGGCATGCACTCAGCAAATTGGGCAGACAGGATCAGCCACAATCTTCCTTCTGTACAAGTTTTCCTTTGTCGGGAGAGCATTTCAGCATAAAATCGGAATAAAGTTTCTGATTTTGTAAGGGAGTTTTCATGCTCCAAATTTTGTTCCAGAATTTGTTTGGAGTTTGATAGGAAGAGGAGACCTGATCTCTATTTGTTTTGCTATAGCTTTTCGCGATAGTGTTGTCGCCACTCTTTACAGTGTACCCCCCTTCTCTCGTTCCAATCTAGACTAGCTTGTCTTTGTTCATCCGTGGTCTGGTCTGATATGGACTGTGAGGATCTCACTCGCTACCTATTCATCAAACAATCTTCGCAAGGTTGGTTCTTTTCATGTGTTTGCCTCCTGATTTATCAATTCAGCAACCTTTATTGGATCTCCTACGATGGCAGGCTCCCCTATGATTCTCCTTTTGAGCCACTTGTCTTCCCTGTTGTCGATATTTTCACCATTTCCTACTGACCACATGACCGAGTCTTTAATTGTCATTCTCCTCATTAATATGCTTTGCCATCCCCAAGAGGGTCTGGATCCCTTCTATGCCTTCCAGAAACTCTTATTTGGGTAGTAAATTCCCTTTAAAATCTAACTATATAGGGTGATAGGAGTTTGTGCTAATCGTCAAGCCTGTTTCCCAAGCATGGCCTTGTCAAAGGATGTTCAATCCCTAAAACCAAGGCCTCCCATGTCTTTTCTTAGCTTTAGCAAGTCCCACTTCCTCCGGTGTATTCCTTATTTAGAGCTTTGGCTCTTCCACCATAATGCTGCTATTTTTTGCTCAAATGCCTGACACACTGAAACTGGGATCTTGAAATTGGACTTCACGTACTAAGGTAATGCTTAGACCACTGCTTTTATTAGAATTTCTTTACCTGCTTTGCACATTATGTTCTCTTTCCTTCATTTCAGCTTCATGTTTACCCTCGCTAGTATCCAAGCAAACATTTGTTTTTTGGATGCTCCCCAATTAGAGGGAATACCTAAGTATTTCCCTATCTTATCGATCTCCGGGACTCTTAGTTCTCTTGCCATGTTCTTTCTTAATTCACTAGGGTAGTCCTTACTAAAGTATATGCCTAACTTGTTCAAATTGACTGCTTGCCTTGAAGCAAAGCAATACTGGTGAAGGATTACAGCCAAGTTCTGACATTCTTTCAGCTTTCCATCTAGAAAAAAGATTGAATCATATGCAAATAGTAGGTGAGATAGTACTAGGCAATGTTTGTTTAATTTTTTCCCTTTTATGGTGCCATCATTCACAGCTTTCTTCATCAACATTGATAGGAAGTTGGCAACCAATATGAATAAGTATGAGGATAGAGAGTCCCCTTACCATATTCCTCTTGTAGGTTGGAAGTAAGGCAAGTGTTCCCCATCCAACTTGACACTCAATGAGGTTGTCCTAACACATTACATGATCAAATTCACTCATCTTTCATTTAACCACATTCTAATTATGTATGCCTTCAAAAAATCCCATTCAATCCGATCATACGCCTTTCTAAGACATAGAACCTTAACCATAACTAACTTCTCTTATCCATCAGCAGTCCTTAATACAAGATAGGCTTTTAGCTCTTATCGATTAAGATACAGGGTTAATGCTATATTATATGTTAAGGAACAAAGTATGTAGAAAATTAGGATTATAATTAGAAGATAAAAATTTAGAGGATAGTTAAATCAACTAAAACTTTGCAGCAATCTTGCCATCCTGATCCTATTTCAGCAATAAGCTGAATACGTCCAACCCATGCGACAGATTCTTCATTCGGGAGGAGGAAGGTAGACTAACCGCCGCTACACAAAGTCCCAGATCTTCCTTTATGCCAGACATAGCTGGCGACGGGTAACCCACCTGCGCATTAAGGTAGCGCATGATAACCATTCTGGTTCTATCCAGAACTGGTTTTCTATTCCCAGAAATAGCTTTGGACCAGAAACCCGTTTGGTAACGCAATTCCATTTTTCTATTTTTGGAACAACTTTTTGTTCCAGAACCGATTCTAAACCAGAAATCATAACAAAAAAAAAAGTAGGTTTTCTATTTCTAGACCAAAAATGAGAATCATTTCTGAGAGAACTCTTTCTTCAAAACACATGTTCATCTGGAAGTCACGATTTTTAAGGTGAGAAAAAAAGCAAAAAATCAAAAATTTCAAAACTTCACAGAATGGTTTAGAATCTGTGGCTACCCACTTTGAGCGAAATTTAAATTTTTTTAGGTACCGAAAAAAATAAAAAAAAATAAAAAAATAAAAAATAAAAAATTTTACAAAATGGCTTAGAATACCTATGGCAACCCACTTTGAGCAAAATTTAATTTTTTTTAGATGCCAAAAAAAATAAAAAAATAATCAAAAAATCTAAAATTTAAAAATTTCACAGAATGTCTTAGAATACCCGAGGCCACCCAATTTGAGCGAAATTTTATTTTTTTAAGGTGCCGAAAAAAATTAAAAAAAGCAAAAAATAAAAAATTTCAAAACTTCACAAAATGGCTTAGAATACCTGTGACCATTTACTTTGAGCGATATTTAAATTTTTGTAGGTGCTGAAAAAAATAAAATAAAAAATAAAAAATTTCAAAACTTCACAGAATGGCTTAGAATACCTGTGGCCACCCACTTTGAGCGAAATTTAATTTTTTTTAGATGCCAAAAAAAATAAAAATAATCAAAAAAGCAAAAATTTCAAAACTTTACAGAATGGCTTAAAATACCTGTGGCCACCCACTTTGAGCGAATTTTTATTTTTTTTATGTGTCTCAAAAAATAAAAAATCAAAAATCAAAAAATCAAAAATTTTGAAACTTCACAGAATGGCTTAGAATACCTGTGGCCATCCAGTTTAAGCGAAATTTAAATTTTTTTAGGTGCCGAAAAAATAAAAAAATAAAAAAATTCAAAACTTCACAGAATTGCTTAGAATACCTGTGGCCACCCACTTTGAGCGAAATTTAATTTTTTTTAGGTGACGAACAAAAATAAAAATAAGCAAAAAAGTAAAAATTTCAAAACTTCACATAATGGCTTAGAATACCTATGGCTACCAACTTTGAATGAAATTTTATTTTTTTTAGCTGCCGAAAAAAAGAAAAAAAAAGCAAAAAATTAAAAATTTCAAAACTTCACAGGATGGCTTAGAATACATGTGGCCATCCACTTTGAGTGAAATTTAATTTTCTCTAGGTGCCGAAAAAAAATTAAAAAATCAAAAATACCATTTGGGAACCTAAAAAAAATTAAATTTCACTCAAAGTGAGTGGCTAGAGGCATTCTAAGTCATTCTATGAAGTTTTAAATTTTTTTATTTTTTTATGTTTTTATTTTTTTTCGCACCTAAAAAAATTTAAATTTCACTGAAAGTGAGTGCCCACAGATATTTTAAGTCATTCTGTGAAGTTTTGAATTTTTTATTTTTTATTTTTTTTTCACCTCAAAAAATTAAAATTTCACTCAAAGTGGGTGGCCACAGGTATTCTAAGTTATTCTGTGAGGTTTTGAAATTTTTGAGTTTTTGAATTTTTTTGGGCACCTTAAAAAATTTAAATTTTATTCAAAGGGGTGGCCACATGTATTCTAAACTATTCATGAAGTTTTGAAATTTTTGATTTTTGATTTTTTTGGGCACCTAAAAAATTTAAATTTCACTAAAAGTGGTGCTAGCGAGTATTTTAAGCCATTCTATGAAGTTTTGAAATTTTTGATTTTTTTTTAAAAATATTCAACAAATTTCCTATTTTCCCGAAATCTGAATTTTTTTATTTTTTGGAAATTGTGATGAATTTTTCTAAAATTTTTCAATTTTTTTTGGATTTTTTGAATTTTTTTGAGATTTTTTGGAATTTTTTGGATTTTCTAATTATTTTTATTCCATTTCTAAAAAAATGGATTTTTGTTCCTAGAAATAGAATTTTGTATTGTTTATCAAACGGGTTTTTGTTTTAGGAAATAGAAATTTTGTGCTGTTATCAAACGGGTTTCTGTTTCAGAAATATAAATTTTTTGTCATTATCAAACGGGTTTCTTTTTTCAGAAACTCATCTTGGAACCAGAAATAAAAAAATCTATTTCTGTTTCAGGAACTCATTCCGGAATAGTATGGTTATCATTCGCTACCTAAATTGCTCGCCATTGTCAAGGTGCCTCTGTAACTGCGAGTAACCTCGTCAGGAAAAACAGCTTGAATTGAGGCAGCACAATCTTTGCATCTTCTTGAGACTAGATAGATATTCAAGAATTGGAAAGAACCTACAGAAGAAACATTACAGAGAAATCAAAGACTTCATAAAGACAAGCGATGGCTCATAAATTGCTTTGGAATGCATTGCGTGGTTGGTGCATCACCAACTCACAGCGCGGCCAGTTGCAAGAGACCCGCAAACAGCGTCCAGTGTGCTAAAAACGAGAAGAGCCGCGACAGAAGAATCACTGGAAGATGTGGAGTTGTCGTGATTGCCACAAGTAGAGACTTCTTTGATCTTGATGTGTGAGAGCCAGGTCGGAGGTTCGATTCTCATCTCACAATTCGAGAAAAGAAGGAAAAAAAACAAAGCAATATATAAACTGTAGACATCAAGAAGAAAACGACTGTTAGGATTGATTTTGAAAATCTAATGACGTGTAAAAGCAACATGAAGCCTTTGGGCTGATTCTATAGCACAATCTTGATGATGCATACAAGAAATTACAGATTGATTACCCATAGTCAGTAACAAACAAATCCTTTAGTGTAATTTATAGCAGCGTTAGTAAAATTGAGGTGACTGATGACCTGTTTATCTTTTAATCTATAAGTAATTTGCCAACAAAATTTAATAATATCTAGTTAATCGGAAAATTACCCCTTTCATTTGACTTGTACTAGTGGCTACCAAATTTCTGCTCTACTATCTATACGCAGTTGTACATATTTAGATGCTTAAACTTGAAAGTTCTCCTTTCTATTTCCTCCCCGTAATTGCATTGCATTAGATCAAATACCACAAAAAACCCCAATTTTTTTTTGTGTGACCAAAAATCCTAAACTTAGCCAATGTGATACAAATACCCCCAACCTTTTTTGTGCCATGAAAAAACCCAAATTTATACATATGTGACAAATGTACCATTTATTTCAGTTCAATGCGGGGATGTATTTGTCACACTAGTATAGATTTTGGATTTTTTTATACAAAATAAATTTTTGGGTATTTGTGTCACAAAAGGCAAGTTTAGGATTTTTAGTGACAAAAAAAGCTCTGGATATTTATATCACAATAGGCATAATTTATGATTTTTTTTGGTATTAATTACGTTGCATTGATACTTTGCAACAAAAAGCGTCCTGTCAGCCTTCCCATCAGTGCTACTGGTGTTTGGCCCATACAAATTCAAATTCCAACAAAATGCGGCTCCTAATCGTTAAAGAAAATGGGCAAGTGATGCTTGCAGTTCTTCCAATGCTCGCCCCTTGGTCTCCGGCACTACCTTCGTGGTGAATAAGACGGTGAGACCGCATGCACACGCGAATATGAAAAATGTCCCTGAAAGCAGCACAAACCGGATTAAGCATAGATACTGAATATATCACACGCACATACACAGGAGAGAGAGGTTGTGTGTGTACCGGGTGCACTCCATTCGAACATGAAGCTGAAAGTATAAGTCACAATCCAGGAACAGGACCAATAGGCGAATGTCGCCAGGCTCCCGGCTGACCCTTTAATGTTTACAGGGAATATCTACAGGGAACATATTCACTGAGAATGGTCTTGAGATAGAGATTTTTTTCTTGAGATAGAGATTACCAAGTGCAAATTTAGACTGAAGCCACGTACCTCAGACATGATAACCCATGGTAATCCCCCAATGCCAAGTGAGTAAGCTACGAAATACATCTAAATGAAATAGTCATCTGTCAGCGAACTTCATCAGGTGTCATTGAGCAACGGTTCAAAATGAAAAGAGACAAGGAAGAAAGGCACTCTTATAGAGACGTACATTTATTGCTACATATGCCAAAATTGGGGTCGCTGCTTTCCAATGATTAAGGTCCTGTTCAGCAACAGAAAAAATAGAAGGAAAAAATAAGGTCGCTTAAAAACATTGAGAATCAAGAGTAGGAATAGTTATTGTTCACGAAACCTGAATGAAGAATGACAATCCTAGAAGAAAGCAACTTAAGGACATTCCAGCTGAAGAAATCTGCAAATAAATATTAGGTTCGGGATCAGTATCTCGAGAAGTGGTCTCATTAAGGCGATTATAGCAAACGTATCATTTCCTAACCATCAGAAGTGGCCGTCTTCCGGCTTTATCAGTCAAGATTACACTAAGAACAGTCGCTGGGATCTGCGAAACATGTGTAGTATCTCAAGAAAATACGATGAAATAACAAAATTAGTCTTTCACCACAATCCTAGATGTTTAGTACCTGGATAATAGCTATGCTTCTAGCACCAAAGCTACTTGAGAAGCCTGCCAAGATAAAGCATTAAGATGACCAAGCCTTCATTATTCATCAATCTACTAATGTATTTAGCGTTTGATTTTTACCAGCTGATTCAAATATGGAGCCCGTATAGTAGGCAAATGCATTAGCCCCACCAAATTGTTGAAGCGTCATCAGCCCAACTGCTATCTAACACTTCGACAAGATTAGGTAAAGAATCGCAAGCAACTTGAATAATTTGGAGGGCATCCTCACCATAAGTGGATGAGCATATCGTCTTTGGAACAGATCCAGAATTCTAGACTGAGACTGCCGTTCAAAGGTCTCTGTGTAGTCCTATAAGAAAAAGTGAAATGAGGTCGCATCATAGCCAAAATATCAGATGCTCCCAAATTATAAGACAGACATGCGAGACTGAGATATTACTCTGATATCGGCTGCTTCTTTAGAAATAATGACACCTTTGCCTCTGAGTCTCTGTAGTGTGCTTTCAAACTCCTTCTCTTGGTGGACTAATACCTGCAAGCGACTATCTGCTTGTAATCTTTCTTACAACAAAAAATGCATGGTCTTGGCTTCGTCATCCAGTTCTATGTTTCTACACAATTAGCAAATTCTTACAAGGGTGGTCAACACCAATTGGATTATGTTTCAGAGTTTGATTTCCATTGAAATGTTAATACCTACGCCTCAACTCCACTAACAACTTACCAGCCATCTAGGAGACTCTGGAACAAAGAACAAACCCAAAATTTGTATGACACAGGGAATGCCACCTGAAGAGAAACCTTCTGATATTTTACCTTCTTATTCATCACATAACATAAAAAATGGGAGCAGAGAGACTACTGATCAGAGCCAAGATGCGCCAGGAGACAATGGTTCCAAGAAAGTAAATCATTGAAAAGCCACAGCATATCATGAACTGGAACAGAAGCCAATTGTGTGTTGGTGAGCTAATGAATTGCCTCGACTCATTCAATTTCTACATTGTGCAAACTTTTTGACCTGATTGAATGCCGTGAATGCTCCCCGAACACTTCTAGGTGTTATCTCTGCAATGTACACAGGTACCTGTTTGAAAACAAAGATAATGATCAACAGCACGTTGGCAGCGTCAACTTCTAGAAATTTATTTGGACAATAAGTCCATTTTTTCCTGCATATACCACGTAACATACAACCCCAATGCCAAGCCCGTTTAGTAGTCTCCCAATATCCAGCCACCAAGCATTCTGCAGATTCAATGGATATACCATTAAGTGCTTACGCTCTATTTCACAGCCTAAACCATGACTTGATCATTCACAAATGCAGTGAAAAATTTCCTTGCATCTTAGCTGGAAGCAGATCAATTGAGTAAACGGTGATCCCTTAACCAGCTAGGCAGATAGTTTAAAGTGCAAAATTTCACAAATGCAGTGAAAAATCACAAAAACATCCTACAGGACCGGTATCTGAATGAACTCATCCATATGATAAGCGTGAAAGGTGGAAAATGCAATTTAAATTATTAAGCTCGTAGAATCATCTATGAGGAAGAAAAATTTCTCAAGAGGCGAGGGGACAGGCAGGAACCTTGGCATATGCTATAGAAAGCCATCCCGCAGCGACAAATATTTGAGAAAGCCACATTGCCTGCATCAAAATGATATGAGAATCCCCATAACATCTGTCGGGTTCTTCATTGAGCTTTCGAGAATGAAAGGGAGAGGTAGAGGATCACTTACTCGTCTACGCCCAATCAAATCCGTTACCCTCCCATTTACCAGAGCTGCTATTAGGCCTCCAACTGTTAATGTTGAACTGAAAAGCGAATACCGTAACACATAAAAATGGGAGAATGTGAATGCAAGTTTGATCCACTTTCCATTTCTCTGTTTGGTGTCGCTGATACAGATGTCACTTTCGGTTAGTCTACTAAATCTCGTGCGTTTTATTCACTCCAACAAATCCTATTTCACGGTTTATTGATGGAAATCAGTTAGTATAGCGACTGATAAATGAACAATCCTAGAAATATAGCAAGAATGCTTGAGAGGACTTGCCGCTGCTGTGGAGATGCCTAAATCCTCCATAATGCCTGACTCAGCTGGTGAAGAATAACCACTCTGCATTGCAAAAACATGCCACCAATTAATGGTACGTTCTACTTGGCGGCTGCTAATCTTATCAAGAAATGCAGCGCAAAGCACAATTGCCGAGAAAATTCCGCCGTGGATGCAAAAAAAATAGTCAGGCCAAAAGTCAGTTTCAAATGGCATCTTTATCACAAATGTGATTGAAGTAATAAATGAGCATGATTTGGCATCTTTTCTGCATAAAGAGTGATCCTGAATCAGCTACTTGCCTTATCGTGGTTTGGGTTGATATTATTATATGGAAGCACGGTAACAAGTATCGGACTGTCCGACACATCCTCTCCTCCTCTGTCCCGTGTTTTGAGAAGAAAATGTTACAAAGCAGTCGTTGGGACAAATTATTACATTCTAAAATTATCCGGATCATCTAAGTCTTGGTACCAGCCAAGTGATCAAGAACATGACATACAAGTGCTTCTGGACAATAATTTACTAACTATTAGGCACCAAAAACAGTAGTAGAGACACATTCAGGCAGAGTTGCAGACACAGATCTTGGTTGCTTCATCTTACTTACACCAAGGCCGAAAATGAAAACCCAGATTTTTCTTGAAAATAAAATGTTGACCAATAATATAAGAACACAGAAAAATTTTGACCAAGTTATGTGCTACTTTCCTCCTATCATTTCCTAACAAAAAATTTCAGTAGAACTTGGAAGAAACCGTGACACTGCCTACTTGGTAATCATCAGAATCATAAAAATAAAAATAAAAAGCACCCCGATTGCAAAATTCACCTCCAATTCAATACAGATGTGGGAAAAAAGGAGCATCAAGAATCCATAAAAGAAAATAGAGCTGGTTTCTTGGTGATGAATCTAAAAGTTGATACAGTACTCACAGCACACCCGATAACGAAAGAGCCACTAACGGCGACGAGAGTGCTAAAAATGACTAGTGGCGTGACAGCAGGATCACTTGAAGACGCGATGGAGCTGCCATGACTGGCATGGGCAGAGACTTCATTAAGAAGCAGGGGACTTGTTGGCAATCCATCTTCTCCCAACCTTTCTCTCTCCAAACCTTCCATTTAAAAGCTCTTCGTAGTAAGTCTTCGAGGAATGAAAATTGGCAAGTATGAGTCGTGAGTGAGTGTGAGAATTGAATGAGATGGTGTTGAGTCAGAGAGGCAGAGATAGAGAGCTCCAAGTGACGGACTTAGTTGCATGAGAAGGTTTCTTCACTCTAAGCTTCCTCGTTATTTTATGTTCGTTTTCCAAGTTCTAATGTTCTTTGATTGATCATGTGAGTAGTTGCTCAAATTTGTAGTAGTTATAGCGGCAATTCATTCATTTCCGGTTGATGGGATCTACAACAAACTGCTAGTGCTACCTATGTCCCACAATATTTTGGAGTATAATTTGAGATGAGAGACGACACTTTGGGATACTCTTAAAAGAGTTGAAATAAAAAACTCAGATAACAGGCATTGTGGGATATTTTAGTACTTCCTCTCACATGCAAGTCACACTGATAGCACGTAAAATTGACAAATAGGAAACCCCACAGGCCTTCGTTGTTGGCTATCAATTCCTCAATGCTGATGCAAAGCCGCGATCGCAACTTCATCGATATTTGGAAACTTTGGGCCATATGACAATCGCGATTTCGATCTTCTGGTAGAGCTGCGAAATAAATTTTGGTTGGCATCTAGTACTAAAACCCGAAATGGATCCAAAACTCTTCTTTATGGTGCGTTTGTTTGAGTGAAAGCATTTTTCGCAAATTAGTTTTTTGGACTTTCACATATTTGGTTTGCTGTAAATTATCGGTCAATAGAAAATCATTTATGGTCAAAGAAAAATGCACGCTTGAAGTTAGGAAAATGAATTCTTTAACCTGATAAGGGAAAAACATTTACCTAGAAAGTGATTTCGCAGAAAGTTTTTTCTTTTATCATTAAGTTTTTCCTAAAACAAACACTAGGGCAAACTTAATAGTTAAATGATATATTTTTATGGATGTTATTAATCTAAATAAATATTGTTCGGCTTTGGCATTTAAAAAATGGATACGTATAATAACAAGTAGAATTTGGCATTGTGATGTGATGACGAATTTGGACATAACATTGATGAAATCATCACCATTGAATGACGAATTCGGACATAACACCGATGAGATTGTCACCATTGAACGAAACTACGTAGAGTATAGTGATTGTCACAATCGGATTTAAGTTTCGAACGAGAATGATAACGATGGCTCTGCATGACTACCTGGTACGCTCCATTAACGGGTTACCAGCCATCAAGGAGACTCCTGGATAAAGAACAAACTGAAAATTTGAAGTACGCAGGGGATACCACATGAAAATGAAATCAGGACAGTGACCTTTTAATGTTTCCTAAGATAACTCTACCAAATAAAGCAGAACAGAATCGAGATAGTACTGAGAGGTATGCACGGGAACCGGATCGACTCAAGAACCGGATTGGACCGGACCGAACTAGCTGGTTTTGGGCGGTTCCCAGTTCTAAAATTTTGGAACCATGAATAATCAGTTCGGTTCTAGGTGCGGAGCCGAACGGCTTGGATATTTTTTTTTTACTTTTCATTTTCTTTTAAAGAGTAAAGTAAAGGAAATTACCAAAATCCTAAACTGGAACGGACCAACCGATCAACCAGTCCCGGTCCAGTTCCCGATTCTACGGGTGGAACTAGCCCAACCTGGAAACCAATCACCCCTAGACAATAACCGACAAAGCCAAGATACAACAGGAAACAACAGTTCCAAGAATGTAAATCAATTAGAACATTTGTTGTAGAATGCACTGAGGACATCTTATATGTTTCTAGCAATGCACTGAGGACATCTTATATCTCAGTTCCTGACCACGAATTTCACTTGAGAATGCACAATTCCCAGTATTTTCCCCTGAATAACAGAACTATAAAAGTCTTTTGACATCCAAATAGGCGCAATTGCAATATCCTTAGACTAATTGAATATCACATTACTTTAACTCACTGCAGAAAAATGATTAAGCGATGCTTGCACTTCTTCCAGGGCTTGCTCTTTGGTCTCCGGCACTAACTTCACAGTAAACAGGATTGCTAAACCACAAACACCCGCGAATATGAAACAAGTTCCTGGAAAAAGCAAAGTCCAGATGCAAAACAACTATCGGATAATGTATCTAATTTATCCAAGCAGAGTCACATGCGCATAAGATCCAGATTCTGAGACCATACTACATAAATGAAGTCGAAAGAGACAGAGAGCATACCAGTCGCGCTCCATTCGAACATGAAGTTGAAAGTGTAGCTCATGATCCAGGAACAGGACCAATGGGCGAACGACACCATGCTTCCTGCTCTCCCTCTTACGTTTACTGGGAATATCTACAAAATGTGGAATCAAATCAGTAAATGGTCTATTGCTTTTAGTATTAGTCATCATAAATTCAATAAAAATAATTGATAATTTGCACCTCAGACATTAGAATCCATGGCAGTCCTGCCATGCCTACTGACAGAGATACAAAATATGCCTGATTGCATTACTGGTCGATCAGCAACTTCAGCGAGACTCGCCACACAGTTATAAACTATGATTCACTAAGCTCTGGTGTAATGATTTACCAATATAGCTAGGAAAACCAAAATTGGAGTGACATCCTTGCAATTGTGCAGATCCTGTAGCCAAGGGGGGACAAAATGAAAGAACAAAAAGTGAGTCGAAGTCATCAAGAACCTCAAGGGTACTAGTGGTTGATTTAGTGATAGAAGAGCTAACCTGCATGTAAAATGACAACCCTAGTATTAAACAGCTTAAGCACATTCCAGCAGAAGAAACCTGCAAATCGAGATGAAGCTCAAGCTCAAGCTCAATTTCAACTTTCAGGTGATGGATTCCTTTTGGAACAAAAAAAGAACGAGTTTCTTTTCCTAACCATTAAAAGCGGTCGTCGTCCAGCTTTATCAGTCAAGATTACGGTAATTGCAAATGCTGGCATCTACAATACATGTCAAAACTACTTGTAAAAGCAACGTGTGGAATTCATATTTCAGGATGATATTTCATAGTTGAGCATCTAGGAAATTCTCCCAAAGTAAGAAGAACAGCTTACCACGACAATAGCCACGCTCCTGGTGCCAATGCTACTTGAAAAATCTGTCATGGACAAAAATTTGTTGTGATTATTTCTTCACACTTCCTGAAGTAGTAGAGAAGCCTTTACCAGCTGATTCAAAAATGGAGCTTGCATAGTACGAGAAAGCGCTAGCACCGCCAAACTGTTGAAGCAGCATCAGTCCAAGTCCTATCTGAGCTTTGAAATGATTGAAAAATGTAAGTCCTCACTAGACAGCATTGCAAATAGATGTGCGGATAAATTTTATATGCAGTTGAAGGAAAGCTCACTGTGAGTGAATGAGCATATCTTTTTTGAAACACATCTAGAAATCTTGAGTGAGATTGCCTTTCAAAGGTTTCTGTGTAGACCTGTGAGATTCATAGAAGTTGAGAATGTGAGGTCCTAGAACTCATCAGCCCTTGAGGGGAAAAATCAGCTTTTCCCTAGAGGATTGTGAAGGGATTGAGAATTTACTGTGATGTCAGCTGCTTCCCGGGAAATATCAGCGCTTTTGCCTCTGAGTCTCTGTAAGGCAGCTTCAAACTCACGTCTTCGACCCACTTTTACCTGTAAATTCATTCACATAATGCATAGTTCTTGAAAGCATTGTACGACAACTTTAAATTTAATTTTCTCACATATCAGATTGCCACTTGCACAAAACTACTACAAAATCCTGAAGGAACGCACCAACCATCTAGGAGACTCCGGTATGAAGTATAAACTGAAAATTTGTATTACACCAGGAATTCCACCTGAAACACAAAATGCAAAAGGCAAACTTTTCTTTTATTTTCTCAACTTTTTTATCAGTAATAATTGTTAATAGAGAATCCCAGACACTACCGATCAGAGCCAAGGTGCGCCAGGAAACAATAGTTCCAACAAAGTATGTCAATGAAAAGCCACAGGCTTGCATGAACTGCATCTCAGGAAAAATAGACCAAAAGGTGACGCATTGGCAACTTAAAGCAAACACATAATGGTCCAAGTTTATTCTTACCTGATTGAATGAAGCAAATGCTCCCCGAACATTTTTAGGTGTTATTTCTGCAATGTATACAGGTACCTGATGGGCAAAAGAGAAGTGATGATCATCGTGGTTCCCATAAGTGTATCAGGAAGTCCAAAGTGCGTATTACCACATAGACTGTGACCCCGACGCCAAATCCTATCAATGCTCTTCCGGCATCCAGCCACCAAGCATTCTGCGAGGCCACATGTAGTGTACAATTAAGTGATAGTGAAAAAATATATTGCAGCCAATCAAATTCTGATGGAACTTCTCTGACCCTGGCGAGTGCTGCCTACCAGATTGCGATGAATTTAGACCCAAGATATGGTAAACAAGAGAACTGGAACTGGGCATGGAAATATGAAAGTAACAGTATTGCCACAAGGCATCTGCTTGCTCACAGAGGCATGAATGTGCAAGATGTGTGTCCCTTATGTGTTACTCAAGGTGAGACAATATTTCATTTGCTAAGAGATTGTCCTTTTCCTCAGAAATTTTGGGATGAAATTGAAAAAACCTTTTTCTATGGTTGGGAGCTACAATAAGTCCTTAAGGGAGTGGATTAGGGATGTGAGAACTAACACTTGGTACAATAGGCATAGGATCTCTTGGAGTACTATATTCATAATTGGATTTTGGGTCCTTTGGATATATAGGAATGCTATTGCTTTCAATCATAATTCAAAGTAACTAGGCAACTTTTGTTTAGATAAAGCAGGGAACATCTGCTGCATTTACAAAGAATAAGCAATGCTGAAAGAAGTCCAGATCAGGATCAGAATGGGAAATTCCACAAGCTGGCTGGTTCAAATTGAATTCTGACGGAGCGGTGGTGAAGAGAAAAGGAGTTGCTGGAATTGGTGGCATAATAAGGGATGATGAAGGGGAATTGGTGAAGGGTTATACTCGTTGTTTGGGAAAGACTTCCGCATTTGCTGTGGAAGTGTGGGCTATAAAGGGGGAACTAACTATTGCTTTAGATTTAAATGTAACGTGTCTAGAGATTGAATCTGATGCCAGTAATGTGATATATGCTGTGCAAAATACTAGTGTAGACATGCCTAACTTGAACTCAATTTTGAATGAATGCGGGCACGGTTTAGCTGAATTGTAGCTGGTGAGGATTAAGCATGCATTCAGGTGAGGATTAAGCATGCATCTAGGGAAGCAAATCATTTTGCGGACAACCTAGCAAAGATGGGATTTACGGCATCTTACGATATATTTACTTCAATCGTAGTCCTTCTGAATTGTAAACTTGAGTTGTATTGGATAAGTAAAGAGCTATATCCTCGGTGACTCAGACTGGGCGTTGGCCTTGATTTGTACTTTCTTATTTAGAGTATTTATATAAGCATGTTTCTACTGAAAAAAAAATTTGCACCCATTGAAAGGGGCGTCAAGAAACTTAAAATTTGTCCTATCACTAGCCAACTTAAACATACTTCTATACCATATGAGAACACAATAATGTAACCGAACAACAGACACAGAAATCAATATCTTCCCTGACCATACCGAACTTAGAGCATTTCCTATTCCATTTGCTATAAGTTAAGTTCAATTACACGTGTTGGGCATCTGTGGGGAGGATATGGAGAGGCAAGAGAAAGGGAAGGAACCTTGGTAAATACTATAGAAAGCCATCCAGCTGTGGAAAGTATTTGAGAAAGCCACATTGTCTGCATCACAAGATACAACAATAGCAATTTGCTCCAATGCAATTGTGATATTTTCGAAAGGCAATAGCTTATGGAATACTCACACGCTTTCGACCAATCACATCTGTTATAGTTCCATTTAGTAAAGCTGCTACTAGTCCTCCAATTGTCAGCATCGAACCAAAAAGTGAATACTGCAGCATAAGAAAGATAGGGAAAAGATTTGTACAGAGAACCTGAACTGAAACTGACTGCACTTATCCCTCAGCAGTCCTTAGTACAAGATATGCTTTTAAAGCTTATCGATTAAGATACAGGGTGAATGTTATAATGTATGTTAAGGAACAAAGTACGTGGAAAATTAGGATTAGAATTAGAAGATTAGAATTTCGATGATAGTTAAATCAACTAAAACTTTGCGGCAATCATGCCATCCTGATCCTATTTCAGCAATAAGCTGGATACGTCCACCCATTCGACAGATTCATCATTCACGAGGAGGAAGGTAGACTAACCGCCGCCGCAGAAAGTCCCAGATCTTCCTTTATGCCTGACATAGCTGGCGATGAAAAACCCACCTGCGCAGTAAATTGCTTGTCATTGTCAAGGTGCCTTTGTAACTACGAGTAACCTTGTGAGGAAATACAGCTTAAATTGAGGCAGCACAATATGGTCAGAAAGAAAGATTGTAGAGTCAAATTGAAAGGCAGCCCAAACACTGGCTCCTAATTTCATGCTTTCTTTTTCTTTTTCCCTTTTTTCCTGATAATACAATTGAGCTCGAACACTTGATTACTTCCCCAAAGGTTGTAACAGTCCCAATTCCATTTGAACGGGTTATTGCAAGAGGTCAAAATTCCAATTAATATTCCCTTGAATGTTTTTTTTTTCGGGGATAGGCATATGATGCAGAACATGCTAACCGAGTTGTTTTTATCTTCGAGAGACTAGATATTCATGAATTGGAAAGAACCATTACGGAAAACATCTTTGTGACGATGAACAGAAGAAACATCACAGAGGAAACAAAGACTTCTTAAAGACAAGTGAAAGCTCATCGATTGCTTTAGAATGCATTGCATGGTTGGTGCAGCACCAATACTCACAGCGCATCCTGTTACAAAAGACCCGGAAACAGCGACCAGTGTGCTAAAAACGAGAAGAACCGTCACAGAAGAATCATTGGAAGATATAGGGTCGCCGTGATTGCCACGAGTTGAGACTTCTTTGAGAAGCAGAGAGCTTGTGGAGAGCCCATCCTCTTCTAGACTCTCTCTCTCCATGTCTCTTTATTTTTTATGAATAAGAATTGCAAGAAATGGAGGTGACAAGAATGAATCTTCAATAAATATAAAGTAATCAAAAGAATGGGACTATTGGGTGTGTGATAGTATGACAGAGACTTTGCATCAGAAAGTTTTGCATTCAAAGAAATAAACTTTTGGGCATGTAATAGCATGACGGAGACTTTTCCTTAGATAGTTTTGGAGTTAAAGAAATTGACTTTTGGGCATGTAATAGTATGACGGAGACTTTGCATCAGAAAGTTTCTGGCTTATGGCCTGGTGATCAGCGTCTGTTCCATTTATAAATTTGTTCTTTGCTGGAAAACGCGAATGATTGCTTCTGATTATTTCCAAATACTAGTCGCAATTTGTCTATGGATTTGTTTTTCTAGGATATTGAATTAAATCTGCCTGCTAAACGCTTAGTAGGTTTTGGAAAGTGATAGATTATAGGTTTATGGATGTGGGCAAAGGATTTGTTTTTCTAGGATATTGAACTAAATCTACTAGCTACACGCTTGGTAGGTGTTGGAAAGTGATTGATTATAGGTTTATGGATGTGGGCCGCCCATGTTGGGCTAACCCAGCCCATGACCCATCATAAGAGCCCATATCAAGTAACTGTTCTCGCGGTTAGCTGCGGATCGTGTAATTGCCCTTAGCAGATCAAAAACAAAAGGGAAAAGTCGTAATAAAGAATATAGCATGATTTAAGAAAAGAAAGAAGAAAACGACATTCCGCTCTCTTCCCTGACGTACGATCCAATGAGGAACTCTCGCGTCTGCAATTGACAGCATTTAATCTGTGGAAACAAGGTATGTTCGTTGTGTGATATACCTATTCGATTAGCATTTGTAGATTTTCTTATGCATGTTTCTCAATTGTTCGAGTTTCGGTATTTAAGAACTATTTCTCGACTATTCGAGTTTCATTTTATTTAGGAATCCGTTTCCTTCGGAAAGAATATTGTTACTTTAGTTTTAGTGTGTGTAATGTTGATAAACATATAGGACAATTTCACAATTGAGTTGAAATCATCAGTTAAAACAATCGCTCCGTATGAGTGGTAGCAATTTAACACTACTTTTGAACCACTAAGCCTTCATCTGGTGGCCACTGCGCATCTCTCGTGATGTGTGAGAGCCAGGTCAGAGGTTCAATTTTCATCTCAAGATTCAGGAAAAGGGGGAAAAGGTAACAAAGCAAAACGAGTTTATTAGTACTTACAAACTATAAACATATAGAAGAAAACTACTGGAAGAACTAATTGTAAAAATTTAAGGGAAAATTTCAAATAAGGGCATGAAGTGGACTTTGCTTCAAATAAGAGTTTCAAGTGGCTATGTCAATTTCAAAGAAGGGCCTGACTTTCCGACTGGTCAAGTGCATTTTCATCCTTTGCCTTTTTTCCCTTTTTTTCTTTTTTTTTTCCTTTTTTCTTTCTTTTTTCCTTCTTCTGATTTTTTCTTTTTTCTTCGTCGGTGGCCGATCTCAGGCGATGGCCACCGGCCACCGAAGATGCCCGAAGAGGGTCCTCGCCCGTCACTAGCCCTTGTCGAAAGGGAAAACAAAAGAAATGAGAAAAAGAAAAGAAAAAAGAAAAAAATTTAAAATTAAAATTTTCATTGGACGAAAATACCCTTGACCGACCAGAATATTTAGTTGATCGGCGACCAGCGAGATCAGACCCTTATTTGAAATTGTCGTGACCATTTCATGCCTTTATTTGAGACTGACATGACCATTTTAAATCCTTATTTGACATAAGGTCCACTTCAAGTCCTTATTTGAGAAAATGAGGGCATATCAAGCTCTTATTTGAAATTTTCCCAAAATATAATAACGTGTTAAAGCAACATGACAATTTAGGGGATTCTATAGCACAATTCTGATGATCCATATAAGAAATTAGAGACTGATTGTCCATGGTCAGTAAAAAAAAAACATACACATGTAATTCATAAACAGTGTTAGTAAAAATGAGGTGTTTGGCGACGGTTTACCTAGTAATATGTTAGGTAAGGTCCCAAAAAAAGCGAATTTACCAGTATCTAGTCAATCAGAAAATTACCACTTTCATTTGACTTGTACTAATGGCTACCAAATTTTTGTTGTATCAAATAAGGACCTAAAGTGCCCTCATTTTCTCAAATAAGGACCTAAGTGGCATGTTATTCTCAAAATAAGAACCTGAAGTGGTCATGAGAGTTTCAAATAAGGACCTCGCCTCGCTAGCCACTAGTCGGCGAAATATTTCGACCAGCCGGCGAGGTTAAGGACATTTTTGTCCAAATTTTTGTAAATTAAATTAAATTAAATTTTAATATTTTTCTTTTTTCCTTTCCTTTTTTCTTTTCCTTTTCTTTCTTTCTTCCTTTTTTCTGGTTTCCCCTATTGGCCTGCCGGTGGCTGGCCAATCGACCACCGGTGAAGCCCGACAGGGTAGGGCGAGGGTCGATCTTGCCGGCAACAGGTGAGGGACAGCCTCACCTCGGCAAGGCGACCCTCACCTTGGGCGGGGCCGCCCTCGCTGGCCATGGGCGAGGTCGGCCCTCGCCAGATCTGGGCAAGGGTCGCCTCGCCAACTGCCGACGAGGGACGGCCTCGCCCGGGCGAGGGCCCATGGCCAGCGAGGGCCGGCCCCACCAAATTTGGGTGAGGGGGCCTCGTCCAGGCGAGGCCGTCCCTCGCCGACAGCTAGCAAGGCGACCCTCGCCCATGGCCGACGAGGGCCGGCCTCGCCCAAGCAAGGCCGTTCCTCGCCTGTTGCCGGCGAGGGCAACCCTCACCCAGCCCTTGCCGGGCTTTGCGGGTGGCCAGCCAACCAGCCACCAGAGAAGAAGGGAAAACCAGGAAAAAGGAAAAAAAGAAAGAAAAAAAGGTACAAAATTCAAAAAAGTTAAAAACGAAAATGCCGTCACCACAAGAAAAGTCAGGCCCTTCTTTGAAACAGATATAGCCACTTCATGTCCTTATTTGATACAAAATCTACTTCAAGTCCTTATTTGAGACTAACATGCTATTTCAGGTCTTTATTTGACACAAAGTTCACTTCAGGCTCTTATTTGAGAATATGAGGACACTTCAAGCCCTTATTTGGAATTTTTCCTTATACAAATTTAGTTACTTAAAGATACAACTCAGTCTGTTCAATTTACCAACTGACATTAATGGAACTTCTCTTCTCTTTTTTCTAACCGTTTCACATTGCATAAATTATTTGCAACAAAAAGCCTACTGTCAGCCTTGCTGTCAGTGCTGCTTGAGTTTGGCTCAGACCAAAATCATTGAAGAGAAGGGGCAAGTGATGCTTGCAATTCTTCCAATGCTCGCCCCTTGGTCTCCGGCACTACCTTCGCGGTGAATAAGACTGTGAGACCGCATATGCACGCGAATATCAAAAATGTCCCTGAAAGTAGCACATTCCAGATTAAGCATAGATACAGAATATATCACGCGTGCGCGCAGAGAGAGAGAGAGAGAGAGTACCGGGTGCACTCCATTCAAACATGAAGTTGAAAGTGTAGGACACAATCCAAGAACAGGACCAATTGACAAATGTCACCAGGCTCCCGGCCGACCCTTTAATGTTTATAGGGAATATCTACAGAGAACATATTCACTGAGAATGGTCTTGAGATAGTGACTGCAGAGTGCAAATTTAGACTGAAGGCATGTACCTCAGACATGATAACCCATGGCAATCCCCCCACGCCAAGTGAGTAAGATATGGAATACACCTAAATGAAATAGTCATCTGTCAGCAAACTTCTTCAATGAGTCATTGAGCGACGGTTCAGAATGAAAAGAGACAAGGAAAAAAGGCACTCTTATAGAGACTTACAATAACTCCTAGATAAACCAAAATTGGGGTCACTGCCTTCCAATGATCGAGGTCCTGGTTCAGCAGCAGGAAAAAATGAGGTCACTTTAAATCATCGAGAATTACGAGTAGGCATAGTTATTGTTCATGAAACCTGCATGAAGAATGACAATCCTAGAAGAATGCAACATAAGGACATTCCAGCTGAAGAAATCTGCAGATAAAATTTGGGTTCGGGCTCAGTATCTTGGAAAGTAGTCTCCTTAAGGAGAGTATAGCAAATTTATCATTTTCCTAACCATCAGAAGTGGTCGTCTTCCAGCTTTATCGGTCAAGATTACGCTAAGAGCAGTCGCTGGGATCTGCAAAACATGTGGAGAATTTTAAGAAAATGCGATGAGGCAAGCAAATTCGTCTTTCACCACAATTCTGCAGTCTAGTACCTGGATAACAGCCATGCTTCTGGTACCAAAGCTATTTGAGAAGCCTGCCAAGATAAAAGATTAAGATGACCAAGCTTTAATTATTCATAAGTTACTAATGTATTTATCTGTTGATTTTTACCAGCTGATTCAAATATAGAGCCTGCATAGTAGGCAACTGCATTAGTCCCACTAAATTGTTGAAGCATCATCAGCCCAACTGCTATCTAACATGTCGACAAGATTAGGAAAATAAGAAAAGGGAATAAAAATTGCAAATAAATTGAATGATTTGGAGGGCATTCTCACTATAAGTGGATGAGCGTACCGCCTTTGGAACAGATCCAGAACTGTAGACTGCGACTGTCGTTCAAAGGTCTCTGTATAGTCCTACACGACAAAATGAGAAAACCTCATAAGCAAAAATCAGATGCTTCCAAATTTTCTAAAAGACATGCGAGATTGAGATATTACTCTGATATTGGCCGCTTCCTGAGAAATATTGACACTTTTGCCTCTGAGTCTCTGCAATGTGACTTCAAACTCCTTCTCTCGGTGGACTTTTACCTGTAAGTGACTATCTGCTAGTAATCTTTCTTACAACGAAATGTGCATAATCTTGGCTTCATCATCCAGTTCTATTATTTTACACAACTACCAAATCCTTACAAGGGTGATCTACACCAATTGGATTGTGTGTCACAGTGGGATTTGCTGTTGAAATGTTAATACCTATGCCTCAACTCAATGACAACTTACCAGCCATCTAGGAGACTCTGGAACAAAGGACAAACCCACAATTTGTATGACACAGGGAATGCAACCTGAAGATGATATAACCAAGGATGACCTTTGGATGTTTTCCCAACTCATTCACCACACAACATAAAAAAAGGAACCGAGACACTACCAATCAGAGCCAAGATGCGCCAGGAGACAATGGTTCCAAGAAAGTAAATCAACGAAAAGCCACAGCATATCATGAACTGAAACAGAAGCCAAATCTGTGTTGGTGAGCAAATGAATTGTCTCGACTCAATTTCAATTTCTATGTTGTCCAAACTTTTTGACCTGATTGAATGCAGTGAATGCTCCCCGGACACTGCTAGGGGTTATCTCGGCAATGTACACAGGTACCTGTTTGAAAACAAAGCTAATGATCAACAGCACATTGGCGGCTTCAACTTCTAGAAATGTATTAGGACATAAGGCCGGAATCTTCCTGCACATACCGCGTAACATATAATCCCAATGCCAAGCCCGTTTAGCAGTCTTCCAATATCCAGCCACCAAGCATTCTGCAGATTAAATGGAGTATACCATTAAGTGCTTACGCTCTATCTAACAGCCTAAACCATGACTGCTATGGAGTATATCATTAAGGTAGAAAATTGGGTTTAAATTGAGCCTGTTTATTTAGTCGTCAACGATGAAGAAAAAATCTGAATAGGCAAGAGGAAGGGCAGGAACCTTGGCAAATGCTATGGAAAGCCATCCTGCAGCACATAATATTTGAGAAAGCCACATTGCCTGCATCAAAAGACATCTTTTAAGAATCCCCATAAGATCTGTCAGGTTCTTCATTGAGATTTTGAGAATGAAAGGGAAAGGTAGAGGATCACTCACTAGTCTACGACCAATCAAATCCGTTATCCTTCCATTTACCAGAGCTGCTATTAAACCTCCAACTGTTATTAGTGAACCAAAAAGCGAATACTGTAACATGAAAAAATGGGGGAGAGTATCAATACGAGTTATGATCCATTTCCCATTTATTTCACTCCAACAAATCTTATTTCACAATAGAGCACAATTAGTATAGCGGCTAATAGATGAACAATTCTAGAAATATCACACGAATGCTTGATAGGACTTGCCGCTGCTGTGGAGAGGCCCAAATCCTCCATTATGCCCGACTCGGCTGGTGAAGAATAACCGCTCTGCATTGTAAAAACGTGCCCCCAGTTAATGGTAACTTCTACTTGATGGCTACTAATCTTGTCAAGAAATGCAGCGAGCAACACAATTGCCGAGAAAATTCTGCAGCAGATTCATAATAAAGAGGCAGGAGAAAAGTCAGTTTTCAAATGGGATCTTTCTCACAAAAGTGATTGTAAGTAATTAATGAAGATCATTTGACCTCTTTTTTGCATAAATGAGTTTCATGCCGTACACTTGACTGACCTGAATCAGCTATGTGCTTTATCGTGGTTCGAGTTTACAAAATTATATGAAAACATGGCAACAAGTTTCAGACGCTCCAACACATCCTCTCCTCTTTTGTCCCGAGTTGCGAGTGGAAAATGTTACAAAGTAGTTGTCGGAACAAATTATTACATTCTTAAATAATCCAGGTCAACCTAATGCCTGGGGATCAGCCAAGTGATCGAGAACAGGATATACAGGTGCTTCTCGAAAAGAATTTACTCTTCTTTTAGGCACCAAAAACAGAAGTAGACACACGTTCAGCCAGAGTAGCAGACACGGATCTTGGATGCTTTATCCTTACCCCGAAGGCCAAACTGAAAACCCAGATTTTTCTTGAAATCACAATGTTGACCAATCATACAAGAAAACAGAGAAAACTTTGACTAAGTAATTTGCTTATTTCCTCTTATCTTTTCCTAACAGAGAATTTTCAGTAGAACTCGGGAGAAATCGTTATGCTGTCTACTCGGCAATCATCAGAATCTGTCACAAAAGGCACCCTGATTGCAAAATTCACCTCCGTTTCAATAGAGACGCGGACAAAAAAAATTGAAAATCAAGAATCTCTAAAAGAAAACAGAGCCGGTTATTTGATGGTGAATCTTAAAACTTAATACAATACTCACAGCACACCCAGTCATGAAAGAACCGCCAACGGCAATGAAAGTGCTAAAAACGACGAGCGGCGTGACTGCAGGATCACTCGAGGGCGTGACGGAGCTGCCATGATTGCCATGGGCAGAGACTTCTTCGGGAAGCAGAGCACTTGTGAGCAATCCATCTTCGCCTGAGCTCCCTCTCTCCATATCCTTTAGTTCAAAAGCTCTTCGCGGTGAGTTTTCGAGAAATGAAAATATTCGCAAGAATGAGTGGTGAGTGATTGCGGAGAATCGAGTAAGATAGTTTGGTGGAGTTGGAGAGGCAGCGACAGGGGAGCTCAAAGCAACGGACCGTCTGTTGCATGTGCAGGTTTCTTCCCTCTAAACACTCCTCATTATTTTATGTTCTTCTTCCAAGTTCTTTATTCTTTGATCGTGTGTGCAATTTGCTCATGTCTGTAGTAGCTGCAGCGGCAAATCATTCATTGAGGGTTGATGAAAACTGTACCAACCTCCTGCTGCTAGTGCTACCTATCCAACGCTGCTGGGGAGATGCAATTAGAGATGAGAGACGGGATGGAGGGACAGTTTTGCAAAAGTCAATCAAAGAATTTAAAAAGACAAGGTTGTGGAGAATACTTTAAATTCTTAATACCTCCACTAACATGTAAACTAGAACCGATAGCACGTGGAATTGGCAAATAGAGAAACCTTGCACGCGAAGTAAAACTAGGGCGGAACCTGGTTCCGAATGCAAGATGGATGTAGAACTCTTTATTAGCGGGCCAAATTTAACGGTTAATGATGTGTTTCCATAGATGTCAATAATCTTAAGTCTCCGTTTGTTTCACAGAAAATGGATGGTTTTGAAAAACATTTTTCTTGAAAATGATCGTTTAAATCACTTACAAAAATGAATGAACAGAAAAATAATAAAAATATTTAGATATAAATTGTTATCGATAAAAAAAACGTTTTTCATTGACTAATTGTTTGAAGTGATACAAGCGGTCATTTAAAAAAAATGCTTTCCAAATTATTTATTTCCTGTGAAACAAGCAGAGCCTAAGTTAATATTGTCAGACTTCTAGTGTTTTAAAATAATGGGTTATGTATGTATGATAACAGAATTTGTTTGTGAACTTCTAATTATTTCTTGATAACTAAACAATTGTCTATAAACGGTTCGTAATCAAGGGGCAAATTAAGGAAATGTGGGCATAATTTGAAAATTTTGAAACTCTAAAGGGGGCAAAATTGAAAAATATTGCAGAACTTTACAGTAGTGGGCCATCAAACAATGGGCGGAAGCAATTGCCTCCACATCACATGGCATGGGTCCGTCCCTATCCCAAAAGCTTATGCAAATCGGAGAATCATGAAAAAAAAATTTGTTTTCTAGATGTGACATCCAACATGGTCCTACCGCTACATAAATCGAGTAGATAAATCGACTAGACCAAAGCCGGCGGCACACGAGGGACTCGATCATTCGAGTATTGAAGTCAAAACTCAGACTTAATTGTACGTTTAGAACTCATTTGCACTATATGAAAAACTTTTATTTTCCACCTCATCTGTCTGTAATTTGGAATTGATGAAACGGAAGTATAACTTATGCAGAACATGTGTAATCAGAAACAAGTAATCGACGAAATTGACCAAGTTTTAAAGCATTAATTATTTGCAAATCAATCATCATTGGTATGGCAATTTGCCAGTATCCAACAAAGTTGACCTGAGGACGGTGAAATCAATCAGCGTAAAAGGTTAAACATATTGCAAGGAAATGTCACTGTTTTTTAACCCCTTTTATTATTGCAAATTTTGCCGCAATCAGGCACAAAAAAGTCAATCCTACAAAAGGGCTCTCCACAGCCTGACTCAATGCCTTATGGCTGCGTTTGGTCGACCGGATAAAAGTCGGGATAGGATATGTTTTATCTTATCTTGTGTTTGGTGGTGGTCCAGGATAGGATAAGGTCGGATATAGACCGGATATAGCCCGGATAAAAAAATCCGAGGGGAGAGGTGGAATAGACCCGGATAGGATTTCTAATGCCTATTTTTCCAGAAACTCTATGCTCCACTCGCCGTCATCTTCATCTCCACACCTTGTGCGCTTTCACCAAAAAAATTTCTCGGCTTTTTTTCCTTCACCGACTCCTCCGGACCCCGTGAATAGCAAAAAAATAAATAAAAATTATCTTATCCGATTTTAAATCCGTAGTCCACCAAACAGTTGACAGGATATGAAGAAATCTCAGGATTTCTTATCCTATCCTATCCTGTTTAGAAGTCCGGACGACCAAACGCAGGGTTGGCAACACAATGATCCTACCAATTCAGATCTCAACAAGGTACAAATCATTGCAGAAAATGGGCAAGTGATGCTTGCAATTCTTCCAATTCTCGCCCCTTGGTCTCCGGCACTAGCTTCGCAGTGAATAAGATAGTCAAACCGCAAATGCACGCGAAGATCCAAAAGGTTCCTGAAAGCAGCACAGTCAAGACATAGATTTGTTAGTACATACGCCCGACACAAGAACTCGTGCAGTTTATGTATTTATGCTCCAGAGAAGCATAGCCGGTGAAAACCATAGAACAAGAACGAAAAAAGAGGAGGATTAGTTACCGGGTGCACTCCATTCGAACATGAAGTTAAAAGTGTAGCTGACGATCCAAGAAGTGGACCAATTGGAGAAGGTCACCAGGCTTCCAGCCGACCCTCTAACATTTACTGGGAATACCTATTGAGAAGATGTCCACCGGTATAAATAGGTTTCTAACCCTATAGTGCAATGTTAGACAAAAGGTATCTATTTACCTCGGACATTATGACCCATGGTAACCCTGCCATGCCAAGTGAGTAAGCTACGGAATACACCTAATTGCAATAATCATCTGTCAGCAACTTCAATACAACTAGTCCTGGAAAGAAGGTTGAGGACTTGAAGCAGCAATAATATAATGAAGGTTTCTTTTGTCAAAGTGTGCTCTCAAACGTATTATTGCCTGGTAAAATAGGATTGAGTCGCCACTCAATATGCCCTCAATCATAAGAGCAAGTCGTATAAGAGTTGAAAAACAAGAAACTAGAAAATCTGTGTTACATAGACTTACCATAATGCCTACATACACCAAAATGGGAGTGACTTCCTTCCAATACTGCATGTCCTGATTTCGCAGGAAGGTATTATAAAAAAAATCAGGCCATTTCATGAGATCAAGAAGAACGAGTAGGCTTAGTCACTGTTCGAATACCTGCATGAAGAATGAGAATCCTAAAACAAAGCAACTCAAGCCCATTCCAGCTGAAGAAATCTGCAAATGAAGGTCAGATTTGGTAATGCTTATAAGCAACTTACTTTAGGGGAGAATGCATCAATATGTATTGGTTTTATAACCATTAAAAGCGGTCTCCTTCCAGCTTTATCAGTCAAGATTACACCAAGAGCAGTTGCCGGGATCTGCAAAACAGGTGAGAAAATCTTGAAAATGTGATAAATAAAATTCCTCTTCCAGCTTAATTCTCCAGAGTCTATTACCTGGACAATAGCCATGCTTCGGGTACCAATGCTACTTGAAAAGTCTGTCAGGATAATAAGTCGAGATTACCAAGTCTTCGTTCTTTATGATTAACAAACGAATTTATAGCATGATTTTTACCCGCTGATTCAAATATAGAGCTCGCATAGGAGGTGAATGTACTCGCCCCTCCAAATTGTTGAAGGATCATCAATCCGACTCCTATCTAAGCCTTGAAAATATGAGGAAATCGGAAAAAAAAAACGGAGCAAAAAATGGCGAGCAATTTCAATAATTTGGAAAGAAGGCTCACTATGAGGGAATGAGCGTATCTTCGTTGAAACAAATCAAGAATTCTAGACTGGGATTGCCGTTCAAAGGTTTCCGTATAGTCCTGGAAGACAATATGAATCGAAACATTAAAAAGTAGAAGGAAAAGGGAAAACTTCCTCCTATTGATACGTGAAATGGAGAAATTACTCTGATATCAGTTGCTTCCCGGGAAATGTCGACATTCTTGCCGCGGAGTCTCTGCAATGTGGCTTCAAACTCCTTTTCTTGACCGACTTTTACCTGTCAGTCAATAACTACACTAATCATCTTCCTTACAATGGAAAATGCAGAGTCCTCACTCCAATTTTCCTACAACATTAACTTCATTTCATTTTATGATTTCGGATTTTTAGATAAATGATCACACGAATTGTCTTGACATGGAAATTGTAATGCCTATACCTCTGGTCATTCTCAGTTCACCGCTAGACTTCAATTTCAGTCATGAGTAAGATTATTCTTTGGAAAAATATTGACTTCATTACCACTCTTCCCATTTTCAGTCTATAATTTTTAACTAAGTAATGTGTTTGCGCATGAGAATATTCAAAATGATTTCCATGGCTTGCGATACATCGAGGTGGGCTACAAAATACTCTACATGGCATGCGGTAAGCTATTTGTGTTATTTAGATTGCCCCATCATCTAATTATCCAAGTTCCATTATGTCATGGTTACTCAACCATGAAATCATCACCATTGAATGACAAATTTGGACATAATACCGACGAAATCGTCACCCTCGAATGAAGCTACATAGAGCAAAGTGATGGCCACAATCGAAATTGAAGTTTCAAATAAGAACGATATAGACCACCGTAGTATGTGGCTCTTCATGAGTACCCGGTACACTCCATAAACAACTTACCAGCCATCTAGGAGACTCCGGGATAAAGAATAAACCGAAAATTTGAAGTACGCAGGGGATACAACCTGAAAATAAAATCATGGACAGTGACCTTATCATGTTTCCCAGGACAAATCTAACAACAAAGCAGAAGAGAACTGAAGCAGTACCTATCAAGGCCAAGATACGCCAGGAAACAATAGTTCCAAGAAAGAAAATCAACGAAATGCCACAGCATATCAAAAACTGCAACCAGATCCAGCAAAGGTTGATAGGCAATGTATTGAGTTGACACCATTAACATCTTACAGTGGCCCAAAATTTTCACCTGATTTAAAGCTGTGAATGCTCCCCGGATACTTTTGGGTGTTATTTCGGCAATGTACACAGGTACCTGTTTGGCAACAATACTATGACCAACGTCTTCTAGAAATTAATTAGGATAACAAATCTAAATGTTTCTGCATTTACCACGTAACATGCAATCCCCATGCCAAGTCCATTTAACAGTCTTCCAATATCGAGACACAAGGCATTCTGCAAGGTAAGATGAATAGACCATTAACTGCTTCTCAGCCATTTCAGAGAATAGACAACTCAGAAAAGTAAAATATGATTGAAGTTTTGTGGATCAAGTCATTGACAATCTATGAAGCAAAATTCTGAAGCGGCAGATAGACAGAGCACGAACCTTGGCAAATGCTATAGAAAGCCATCCTGCAGTGGAAATTATTTGTGAAATCCCCATTGTCTGCATCACCTCAAGTCAATTAAGAATTCTGTAAGATTTTTTCAGGTTCTTCGTTGAACATATATGATTTTCAAATTCACGAATAGCTGGAAAGCCTAGAGAATGACTTACACGTCTGCGACCCATCATATCTGTCATCCACCCATTAACCAAAGCTGCTACTAACCCTCCTATTGCAAGTATAGAACCAAAAAGCGAATACTGTAACATGAGAAATCGGGAATATTAATATTAGAGAACCCGGATCGCGACTGAAAAATTCCCTAATTCCAACAGTGTCACAGATAAAGAATTAATTATTGAGTTTTTTGGCATCAACCATGCTTTTAGGGAAAAGTTCGAATGAAATTTGCAATGATATCAGAGGTTCTGCACTGAATCTACTGAACAAGGAATTGACTGAAACTGGCCAGAATTCATCATACTTTCTAGCAATGTACTGAGGACATCTTATATCTTAGTTCCTGACAGTAAATTTTATTTTAAGATGCACAATTCCCAGTATTTCCCCTTGAATAACAGAACTATACAGGGCTGAGAGTTTATAAAACGGTAGCCGGGTAGCACGTATGCTTGAGAGGACTCACCGCTGCCGTAGAGAGTCCCAAGTCCTCCATTATGCCCAACTCGGCCGGTGATGAATAACCAGACTGCATTATAGAAATACACCGCTAGTTATGGTAACCTGTACTTGGTGGAGAGTAATCTCATGAGAAACTACACCCTGAACAAAACAGTTGCCTGGGAGATGACATTACAGAGGCAAAACAAAAAAGATAAAAGATTACATTACCTCTAAATTGGTTTTTCAGAAGTATCTTTTCTCAGATATGCAATCCAAGTAGTGAAATGTGATAATTTCAGGTCTCTTTGCCAAATTGAGTTTCCATAACAAACGTAATTGATCATAAAGTAGCAACTTCAGTTATGACATTTTTATTCTTAAACAATTCCAGGTCAACCTAATATTTTGTATCTATTAAGCCAGGTGATCCACAACAGGCCAGCAGGTGCTTCTGCAACATTATTAACTCCACACAACACCCCAGACACGCGAAAAAAGAAAGAAAAAACAAGAATTTGTTTCTTCCTCTTTCTTTCTCTAACGAAGCATTCACTCGAATTTGAGAGAACCTGTGACAGAAATGCGAAAAGAAAAAAGAAAAAAAAAAGGGAAAGCAAGACTGCTCAACAGAAAACAGAGCCGGGTTCTTAGTGATGGAACTAAATGCAAGCAATTCCCGAGAAGTTGATGCAATGGTACTCACAGCACACCCAGTGACAAAAGACCCGCAAACGGCAACGAGCGTGCTGAAAACGACGAGAGGCGTGACCGAGGGATCACTTGAAGACGTGGAGTTGCTATGGTTACCATCGCCAGAGACGTCTTTGAGAAGCAGAGAGCCTGTTGGCAACCCATCTTCTTCTGGTCTCTCTCTCCCCATGTGTCCTCCTTGCTATGAAGCTGTCGTGGAGAAACAAGATTTGCTTAAGAATGGTGGTGGCAAGAATCAGCTGCGCGTGCATATAGAGGACAGTGTGTTGGTGAGAGAGAGAGAGCGAGAGAGAGGTAGATATGGAATTCAAAGAAATGGACTTTCGGGTAGGCGAAAGTATCACAGAGACTGCTGCAAGGGAAATTTGTGGGCGAATAGCTGCATACGATCATCTAATTTTGTATTCTTTTTTGTCCTTATTCTTTGCTTGAGCATGTTTTTCAATAAGCCGTTTTTCGAGAGAATGACACAATTTTTCGGTATTCGACTAAAATCTGAAAAAGACTCGAAAAATATTTTTTCGCTGTTTGGTATGGAAAATTTGATTTAATTTTCCTCTATGCACTAATTTTAATAAAAAAAAATTAAATCAATTTTTTAGTTTTTTTTCTTTTTTTTCCCCTTCTTCTCCGGTAGGTCACCGGCCACGGCGAAAGCCGACGACCGGCCACAAGCGAGCTCGAACGTAGCCATAGGCTAGCAAGGCTCGAGCTCGCTAGATCAGCAATGCTTAGGCAAGGCTCGGGCCTTGCCAAAGGTCGGCGAGCTCATGAGTCGCGGTTTGGCAAGCGAGCTCGTCGCCGCCTTGCCAATCGCGATATGGTGAGCGAGCATGCCGTCAACTGGCAAGTTGTGGTAAGCTCGCCAGATTTGGTGAGGCTCGAGCTTGCTTGTGGCTGGTCGCCAGCCTTCACCGCCGACCGGCCAAAGAAGAAAAAAGAAAAAGGCAAAAAGAAAAGAATTTAAAAATAATAAAAAATTATAATTTAAGAAAATAATTAAAATGAATGGTGAAAGAATGAGGAGGGAAAATGATGTCAACTTTTCAAAAAGAGGAAATCATTTTTCCCATTTTTAAAGGTGTTTTTTTTCCATTGAAGGAAAAATTTTCCTTGACTAGTTTATTTTTCTTAAACCAAACACCCAAAAATCTAGAAAACTTTTTCCTGAAAGTTATTTTTTGCGAAACGAACGGAGTCTAAGTATCCAGTCATTTGGAAATAACGAATATATATTAAATACCCTTGACAGAATTTATTATTGTTTGCACAAAAAAAAAAAGCAACTAGATCGTCGATGTGGGTAAACACATGACTAAAGTATTGAATATTATCAAGCACTTGACCCATCTTCAATTATCGGCGACCGCAAGGATTGGTATCGATATTGGCGCACATCAATGATTATTACCGATCGGTTGTCAATATACGACGACGCATGATTAACGATGATTGACAAGGGTATCAATTAGTAGTATTGAGATACGCCACTAAGGCGTCCCCCCCCCGCGTACTAAGGAACCGTATAAAGGCAAGATCATGCAATCATGAGGATATGGGCACAAAACTTTCCAAAATAAAGGAACATGGCTATAACCGCAAAAGAATGCTCAAAGACGGTTATAAGATAACTACTACAAATACCATCGCTCGCCTACTAAAAAATCCCCCGCACAAATCAAACAAAAATGCAATCTTTCAATTATTTTTACTTTCATGCACTGTACTTTTATTTTCCAGACTCGCATCGTCGATTAAATTCCTGCATATTTGTTAGCTGTAGCTTCCAGATCCACACCATCGATTAAATTCCGACGTGTATCTCTATCTGAGATGTTGTGTTGTCGATTAAAATTCGGCATAGCATCTTTGTATCTTCAAGCTTTGTTATTGATTAAATTCCGGTATAGTTTGTTTATGTTCGGTTACGTTGTAGTGGCTGTACTTCCCAAGCCTTGTCGTCGATTAAATCCAGACACGATTTGCGCTGTATAGTTCTGTTTCAAGTAAAGCTATTGATTTCTTCATTTACCTATGAAATTTCATGTCTGAAGTCGCCACAAAACCTGTCTTCTTTAATTAAAAAACTAAAAAATGACTTTCAATAAAAGATATTTCGTCGTGGGAAAAATTTCAGCGACACATTATTTTGGCATGCCCAGTGAGACATTTGCGGTCAATTTGAGGAAATATGATGGTGAGAACAATCAACTCGATCCTGACGATGCTAGCAGTAACAACCCATCACCACTACCTAGCAATGACAAAATAGGACGTTCTGAGTCATTGACTGCACAACCGGTGGCAGAACAACAACAAGGTGGAGATGTCAATATCCTGAGACAACTCACCGATGAGCAAAGGAGGCAGTTGGAGCCTAATCCTGTGATGATGGCTACTTTGAGGAGGATTTTTTATGAGCACAGGAATGAAACAACTTACCACCTAATGAAATACCTCGTCGATGTGGTCGCGCCAATGATCGTCAACACCTTCCATGAAGTCATCCACAGGCCAGGAGCATCGAGCCATTCAATTCAAATGCTGGCAAATCCTACTAATCATGTGCCTTCTGGGTTTGTTCCTTCATCTACTGCTGCTCAAGTTACTTTTGGTAGTGTAGAACAAATTGTACCACCTTTACCACCCATTAGGATTTTGCAAAGGGGTTAATACCACGAAAAATCCCAAATTGATACACTTGTGATAAATTTACTTCGAACAAATTTTTTAACAACGAAAAACCCCAAACTAATATATCTATAACAAATTTACCACAAACTAATTTTTTGACCACCAAAAACCCAAAACTGGTACACTTGTGATAAATTTACCCTCCGTTAAAATGAATTAATATCACAAAAAATCACAAATTTATAAATCTGTGACAAACGGAGGGGTAAAACTCTAAACTGGTACACCTGTCAACTGCCACGTGTCATTCAACTCAACAATTTGACAGTAAAATTTAACGGAAACTAACGGAGGGTAAATTTATCACAGGTATACCAGTTTGGGATTTTTGTGGTCAAAAAATTAGTTTTTGGTAAATTTATCACGAGTATAGCAGTTCGGGATTTTTCGTGACATCAACCCTTTTGCAAAAGGCTGAAACCGTTCTTACTACCCAGACCAGTGGGTCAATGCCCGTCAGTGGAAGTAATATGCTTAATCATGTCCAACTTAACTTAAATGGTAATAATAGCAACTCGATAAATCAAAAAACTCAGCAAAATATGCCATTGTCAAATGTGGAAAACATACACCCAGTCAGCCCAACACCTCCTGTCGATAATGTAAGGCCAATTGGAATAGTACCCCAATTCAACATAGCACCTACCCCATACAGGCCTAATGTTGTCATCGACAACTAAGGTAGGCCACCGTCTTCGCCTAGGGGGGCAGGATGACCAAAGACCTATAGTGGAAGTAGTGGGGATGCCCAACTCAATGTATGCTCCTCAAGGATCAAATTTGGTAGTCAACAACCAAGTTAGACCACCGCCTTTACCCGGAGGGCAGCGCGCTCAAGTGACCCCTGGTCAAGACTCCTAGAATGTCCAACTAATACTAGACCAAGAAATGCAATGATTAGGGCATGATCCAATAATTATCAGACCCGTGTATAGAAAGCCGTTTTCAGAGTGGATGGATACAATGCCTTATCAAGATGCTTGATTTTAACCATTTCTCTGGTGAAGATGATCAATCAATGGTAGAGCATATTAGTCAATTCTTTGCGCAATACGGCGATGCATCTCACGCCAACTGTTGGAAGTTAAGGCTGTTTCCCTTATTATGTATGCAAGACTACCTTCACATGGTATACATCTCTACCAGCCCATTCTGTACACTCTTGGGAGCAAATGGAGACACAATTCCATAACCAATTTTATTGGTCACTCCTTGATGTGTCTATTGCTGATTTGGCCACTATCAAACAGTAGAACAATGAATCGGTAGACCAGTTTATGTCTAAGTTCAAAAGAGCGAGAAATCGATGTCTCATATCATTGCCAAAAAGATCTTTTGCTAATATAGCCTTTAGCGGCCGAAAGTTTGCCTTAAGGTATAGATTAAAAGGAAGACCATATAATGACCTCTTCCAATTAGCAACAAAGACAATTAGGTATGAAAAACTGTCGAAAGAAAAAGATAAGAAACCAAGTAAACTTGATGTGATCTTTGTAGAAAGGTATGAGCCTGAAGATGATCTAGACCAAGGAGAATATGCTAAGATAACCATGGCCAAAATGGTTATTGACTAGCCATACAAGCATTGAGGCCATATAGGGTCAAAGAGAAGCTAAAGAGAACATCATGCTTAAAGCGAAAGATACTCAATACTATTTGTTTGATGTGGACAAAATGGATGAGATTTTCGATTTGCTTTTAGCCAATGGTTTGATAAAGCCGCTATATTGAGCAAATAGGAATTGGCAAATATGAAATATTGCAAATGGCACCACTCATGGAGTCATAATACCGCTGATTGCATTGTTTTTAGGAAGAATATATAAGAGGCAATTCGGTAGGGTAATATTAAGTTTGCCGATGGAAAAGAAAAAAGCTCCAATGGAATTAGATGTTGACCCGTTCCCTCTTATGGCTGAGATGGTATCTGTAAAACTCAAAGGCAAAAGACCATAACAGCTGAATCTGTGTGCTTGGTGCAAGCGAGAAATTAGTCAAAATTATTATACTCCGCCTAAAGACAAAACACCACGAGGAGGATTCCCAAGCCAGAACACAAGGTGTAACCATTGACCGAATCGTGTTAACAATCCTAATCACATCAGTCAGACGAGTCACCCTAGACAATTTGACCAAATTACTTTCCCTAGGGGGCAACCCATGAGAAAGAAGTCATTCCAGTAGAGATATGAGGAAGGAGACCCTACTATTGGCACATTGGGAGAACCAAGTGGTAAATTCGACTACTATGTCAGCTATACATCACCAGCTCCCTATCCTCAAAATATCGTTCCAACTGGATAGGGTGAGGAATTCGATGAGCTACCTCCTGAGGATACTGATTCATCAATGTCCTCTCGCCGACGAACCTTGAAAGTACCACATAATCCTCTAGAAAGATAGTGGTTCGAAGCTAGTGAGATACAAGGACCGGGGGCAACATGTCCAAAACTCAGAAAAGAAGAATGCAACAAAAGAAGAAGATGTTTGAACTACAAGATCAAGTCAATCAAGTTCATATTAGCCGGTTAGTCCAACTCTCATGGCAGCCTATAAACCAAAGAAATTCAGAGGTAACAACTTGATTTGGAAAAGGAAACCCGAAGAATCAGTTCAAACCTGTAGAGAACCACAGGAGTTTGGATCTCCAAAGATGGAAAAATCTGAGCCAAGGCCCGCAACACTTTCGAGGTCAATGTCACCTGCGAGTTCGTATATGATTCAAGTCAAGTTGCCTTCAAAGTTCAAAATAGCGTCGATAAGAAGGTAGAAGACAAAGATTCAGTAATTCATAAGGAAGAAATGGCCGAGTTCCAATTTGCTAAAGAAGAGGTGATGGAGTTTGAAAAACTTCCATCTCATAACTCCAGGCATCTCAAAGCCCTCAACATCTCGGCCAAAATCAATGGCAAACCTGTGTCTAAGGTTTTGGTCGATGGGGGATCTACATTGAATCCCATCTCATACAAGTACTTCAAGAACATTGGGAAAAAGGATGATGAGATCATTCCTACAAACATTCATCTTTCAAACTTCACAAGGGCAATTAGTCAGGCCAAGCGAGTTTTCGTTGCTGACTTCACCGTTGGGTCCAAGACTTCTAAAACCTCTTTCTTCGTTTTTTACGCTGATGGGTCATATAACCTACTATTGGGAAGAGATTGGATTCATGGAAACCAATATATCACACCTTCTCTTCACCAAATGCTAGCCTTTTGGAACGGAGACAAGGTTGAATATGTTAAGGCTAACCATAATGTATATGTGGCTTGGGAAAAAGCATTAAGAGTAAATTGAAACCGTCATAGAAAGGTGATAAGTAGCTCATGCTTTATAGAACCTCCAAGAGTTGATCCTAAAGACCTGACTTTCTGCCATTTTGACAATGGGAATGTCGACTAGATTCCCAAGGATGAGTTGGGTGGGCAACAAAACAAGGTTGTCTATGGAAAACCATACATTGTTTGAAGACCTTGATGAGAGGTATTCAACCTATTTGGCTGAGCAGAATGAACAATCTGTCAGCGTTGCCGATTGCATAGTAGAATTTGAGGAATCACCACTAAGAGAAGATGATAAACTGGTGGAGGCTTAAAATCCATTAATTGAGATTAACATTGGTAATGAACATTATCGTCGACCAATTTATGTTAGTGCATTATTGGATGAAAATTTCAAGATGCACTTGGTGTAATTGTTGAAGAAGTATAGAGATTGTTTCGTTTGGGATTATCATGAGATGCCAGGACTAGGAAAAGATGTAGTAGAACACAAGTTGCGGATCAAAAAAGGGTTTCGACCACACAAGCAACCCCCGATGAGGTTTGCTCCTAAAATTATTCTCAAACTGAAAGAATTCTAGCCATTATTAGCAGTAGGGTTTATCAAAATAGCGCATGTAAAAAAGAAAAATGGCAAATTGAGGGTTTGCATCGACTTTAGAGACCTGAATGCTGCAACTCCTAAAGATGAATATCAAATGCCGATGGTTGACACGCTAGTTGATTCGGCATCGAGCAATGAGATTATGTATTAAATGGGTGGCCATTTGGGATACAATTAAATATTCAAAGCGGAAGAAGATGTGCATGAGACTACATTCAAATGTCCTAGAGCCATTGATACGTTCAAATGGTTGGTGATGATGTTTGGTCTAAAGAATGCTAGAGCAACATATCAAAGGGTGATGAATTTCATCTTCCACAACATGATTGGGGAGTTCATGGAGATCTACACTGATGATATCATCGTCAAATCAGATCAAGTAAGTTATCTGAATTATCTCGAGCAAGCTTTTGTTAGGATGCAGAAATAGAAATTGAAAATGAATTTTTTGAAAAATACTTTTGGAGTTGAGGCTGGTAATTTTCTAGTATTCCTAGTAAATCAAAGAGAAATGGAGCTAGATAAAAACAAAGCAAAGGCAATTCTACAGTTACCGCCACCCACAACTAAGAAATAATTGCAAATGATAATTGGCAAAGTAAATTTCTTCGTAGATTTAATTCTAACTTGTCTGGAAAAATAGAGGCTTTTTCTCCTTTGCTTAAATTAAAAAACCAAGAAAAGTTTATCTGGGAAGAAAATCATCAACTTGCCTTCGATCGTATTAAAGAATATTTATCTAGTCCTCCAGCTTCGATGCCATCTAAAGCAATAGGCCTTTGAAGCTTTATCTGTTGGCGACAAATACTATCATTCAAAGCATGCTGACACAGGAGAATGACGATGGCAAAGAACAGGCGGTGTATTACCTTAATAGAATGCTAAATGATGCAGAAAGAAGATATACCCCTATGGAAAAACTGTCTATCCGTGCATTTTGCTTGTAATAAGCTGCGTCACTACATGTTACTGACTACGGTTTATGTAATGTGCAAGATGGACGTGATAAAATATATGCTAACTCGGCCAACTTTTAGAGACCGCATCGTTAAGCGAGCTTTTGCCCTATCCGAGATTAGTTTGGTTTATGTTCACTTAAGGCATCAAAAGGACAAGCAGTTACCGATTTCATCACAGAATATATATATATATATATATATATGTGTGTGTGTGTGTGTGTGTGTGTGTGTGTACACTTTGAAGAAGACAGATGAAAATTTGATGCAAGTTGTGCCATGGACTAAAGTTTTAAAGCCTTAATTGTTTGCGCATCAATCATCATTGGTATGGCAATTTGCCCGTATCCAACAAAGTTGACCAGAGCACGGTGAAATCAATCAGTGTAAAAGGTTCAACAAATTGCAAGGAAATCTCTCTTTGCTTGTCACCCCTATTTTTGCCCCAATCAGGCACAAAAGGGTCATTCCCACAAAAAGGCTCTCGCCAGCCTGACTCAATGCCTTTTGTGGTTGGCAACACAATCATCCTACCAACTCAGATTTCAGCAAAGTACAAATCATTGCAGAAAATGGGCAAGTGATGCTTGCAATTCCTCCAATGCTCGCCCCTTGGTCTCCGGCACTAGCTTCGCAGTGAATAAGATAGTTAAACCGCAAACGCACACAAAGATCAAAAAGGTTCCTGAAAGCAGTAGACAAAGATTTGTTAGTACATACGCCCGACATAAGAACACCTGCAGTACATGTATTTAGGCTCCAGAGAAGCATAGCTGGTGAAAACTCTAGAACAAGAATGAAAAAAAGAGGAGGATTAATTACCAGGTGCGCTCCATTCAAACATGAAGTTAAAACTGTAGCTGACGATCCAAGAACAGGACCAATTGGAGAAGGACACCAGGCTGCCAGCCGACCCTTTAACATTTACTGGGAATACCTATTGACAACATGTCCACCAGAATAAACAGGTTTCTAATCCTATACATGGTCTTGAAGTAGAGACAATAGAGTGCAATGTTAGACGGAAGGTATGTATTTACCTCAGACATTATGACCCACGGTAACACCACCATGCCAAGTGAGTAAGCTACAGAATACACATATTGCAATAATCATCTGTCAGCAACTTCGATACAACTAGTCCTGGAAAGACTGTTGAGGCCTTAGAAGCAGCAATATTATTATGAAGAATTATCTAACTGTTGCTTCCATGTTATAAGAAAACGTGGTCGAACGTTTTTCCTTTTTTGTCCCGATCTTGTCCTAGATAGATTGAGCAATGAGCGGACAAAGAAATTCATTTGCCATATATGTTCTATCAATAAGAACTACTAGGCGAAATCCTTTTTCTTCTTTTGTCAAAGTGTGCTCTCCAATATTATTGCCTGGTAAAGTAGGATTGAGGTGCAACTCGTTATGCCCTCAACCATAAGAGATAGCTGTATAAGAGTTGAAAAACAAGAAAGTAGATAATATTTGTTACACAGACTTACCATAATGCATACATATACCAAAATAGGAGTGACTTCCGTCCAATACTGCAAGTCCTGGTTTCACATTAAGGTATTTAAGAAAAAAAAATCAGGCCACTTTATGAGATTAAGAAGGAGGAGTAGGGCTCAGTTAGTGTTCGAATACCTGCATGAAGGATGATAATCCTAGAACAATGCAACTCAAAGTCATTCCAGCTGAAGAAACCTGCAAATGAAGATCAAATTTGGTAATGCTTATGAGCAACTTAATTTAGGAAATTACGTCGATATGTATTGGTTTCGTCACCATTAAAAGAGGTCTTCTTCCAGCCTTATCTGTCAAGATTACGCTGAGAGCAGTTGCCGGGATCTGCAAAACAGGTGAGGAATCTTGAAATTGTGAAAAATAAAATTCATCATCTAGCCAAATTCTCGATAGTATACCTGGACAATAGCCATGCTTCGGGTACCAATGCTGCTTGAAAAGTCTGTCAGGAAAATAAGTTGAGATTACCAAGTCTTTGTTCTTTATGATTAACTAACAAATTTATAGTGTGATTTTTACCAGCTGATTCAAATATAGAGCTTGCATAGTAGGAAAATGCATTCGGCCCTCCAAATTGTTGAAGGATCATCAATCCGACTCCTATCTAAGCTTTGAAAAAAATTAGGAAATAAAAGGAAAGGAGCAAAAAATGGCAAGCAATTTGAATATTTTGGAGGGAAGGCCTACTGTGAGGGAATGAGCGTATCTTCGTTGAAACAAATCGAGAATTCTAGACTGGGATTGCCGTTCAAAGGTTTCTGTATAGTCCTGTAAGACAATTTGAATAGAAACATTGAAAAGTACAAGGAAAGGGAAAACTTTCTACTATTGATATGTGAAATGGAGAAATTACTCTGATATCTGTTGCTTCCCGGGAAATGTCTACACTTTTGCCACGGAGTCTCTGCAATGTGGCTTCAAACTCCTTTTCTTGACCGACTTTTACCTGTCAGTCATAACTACACTAATCATCTTCCTTGCAATGGAAAATGCAGAGTCCTCACTCCAATATTTCTACAATAACTTCATCTTATGTTTTCAGATTTTTAGATAATTAGTGAACTCTTACGTAAATGATCCACGCAAATTGTATTAACATGGAAAATGTAATGACTATACCTCAGGTCATTCTCAGTTCACCACTACACTTCAATTTCAGTCATGAGTAAAATTATACTTTGGTAAATTATTGACTTCATTACCACTCTTCCCATTTTCAGTCTAAAATTTTAACAAAGTAAGGTGTTTGCACATGAGAATATTCAAAATGATTTCCATGCCTTGCAATACGTCGTGGTAGGCTACAAAATTCTCCTCATCGCATGCAGCATGCTACTTGTGCTATTTACATTGCCCCATCATCTAATTATCCAAGTTCCATTATGTCATGGTTACTCAACCATGAAATCATCACCATTGAATGACAAATTTGCACATAAAACCGATGAAATTGTCACCATCGAATGAAGCTACATCAAACAAAGTGATGGCCACAATCGAAATTGAAGTTTCAAATAAGAACGATATATATATCACGATATTGCGTGGCTCCTCATGAGTACCTGGTACACTCCATAAACAACTTACCAGCCATCTAGGAGACTCCGGGATAAAGAATAAACCGAAAATTTGAAGTACGCAGGGGATACAACCTGAAAATGAAATCATGGACAGTGACCTTATTATGTTTCCCAAGACAAAATCTAACAAAACAAAGTAGAAGAGAACCGAGACAGTACCTATCAAGGCCAAGATACGCCAGGAAACGATAGTTCCAAGAAAGTAAATCAACGAAAAGCCACAGCATGACGAAAACTGCAACCAGATCCAGCAAAGGTTGATAGGCAATGCATTGAGTTGACACCAATAATATTTTACAGTGGCCCAAAATTTTCACCTGACTAAAAGCTGTGAATTCTCCCCGGATACTTTGGGGTGTTATTTCGGCAATGTACACAGGTACCTGTTTGGCAACAATATTACCACCAACATCTTTTAATAATTAATTAGGATAAGAAATCTGAATGTTTCTGCAATTACCACGTAACATAAAACCCCAATGCCAACTCCATTTAACAGTCTTCCAATATCAAGCCACCAAGCATTCTGCAAGGTAAGATGAAATACACCATTAACTGCTTCTCAGCCTTTACGGAGAATAAACAACTCAGAAAAGTAAAATATGATTGAAGTTTTGTGGATCAAGTCATTGACAATAGATGAAGAAAAATCCTGAAGCGGCAAATAGACAGAGCACGAACCTTGGCCAATGCTATAGAAAGCCATCCTGCAGTGGAAAATATTTGTGAAATCCCCATTGCCTGCATCACATCGCATCAAGTAAGAATTCTGTAAGATTTTTTCGGGTTCTTCATTGAACATATATCATTTTCAAATTCAAGAATAGCTGGAAAGGCTAGAGAATGACTTACACGTCTGCGACCCATCATATCTGTCATCTGCCCATTAATCAATGATGCTATTAACCCTCCTATTGTTAATATAGAACCAAAAAGCGAATACTGTAACACGAGAAATCAGGAATATTAAAATTAGAGAACCCAAATCGTGACTCACAAATTCCCTTATTCCAATGGTCTCACAGATAAAGAAGTCTTTGTCAGCTAGCCCTTTAGGTCGTATTTTTTTGGCATCGACCATGCTTTTAGGGAAAAGTTCAAATGAAATTCCTTATGTTAATAACAGACGTTCTACACAGAATCTCACTGAACAAAAATTAGCTGAAAGCGGCCGCAAATCATTATGCTTTCTAGCAATGCACTCTGGACATCTTATATCTCAGTTCCTGACAGCGAATGTTATTCAAAATGCATAATTAACCGTATTTTCCCTCTAATAACATAACTATATAGGGCTGAGAGATTATAAAATGGTAGCCATGTAGCATGTACGCTTGATAGGACTCACTGCCGCCGTAGAGAGCCCCAGGTCCTCCATTATGCCCGACTCCGAGGGTGATGAATAACCATACTGCATTATAGAAATACGCCACTAGTTATGGTAACCTCTACTTGGTGGAGAGTAGTCTCATGAGAAACTCAGCTTGAACAGAGCAGTTGCCTGGAGATCAAATTACAGAGCCAAAAAATATATATATATAAAAGATTACATTACCTGAAAATTGATTTTATAGAAGTATCTTTTCTAAAATATGCAATCCAAGTAGTGAAATGTGATAATTTCATGTCTCTTTGCCAAATTGAGTTTCCATAAGAAACGTAATTGATCACAAAGGAGCAACTTCAGTTATGACATTTTTATTCCTAAACGATCCAGGTCAACCTAATATCTGTGATGTATTAAGCCATCTGATCCACAACATGCCAGCAGGTGCTTCTGCAACATTATTAACTCCCCCGAAATAAAATAAAAAAGAAAGAAAGAAAGAAAGAGCAATCAGATATTCAACAAGAATTGCAGGTATAGACCTTGCTCGCTGCAACATCATACGAATGCCAAAACAAAAACCACCATCTTGAATGAAAATGAAAGTTTGACCAACCACTCAAGCAAAACGACAAACATTGCTGGAGCAATTTGTTTCTTCCTCTTTCTTTCTCTAACGAAACATTCACTATAAATTGAAAGAACATGTGACAGAAATGCAAGAAAGAAGAAAAAGGAAAGCAAGACTGCTCAACAGAAAACAGAGCTGGGGTTCTTAGTGATCAAACTTCATGCAAGCAATTAACCAACAGTTGATGCAACAATACTCACAGCGCACCCAGTGACAAAAGACCCGCAAACGGCAACGAGCGTGCTAAAGACGACGAGAGGCGTGACCGAGGGATCACTTGAAGACGTGGAGCTGCCAGGGTTGCCATCGCCGGAGACGTCTTTCAGAAGCAGAGAGCCTGTCGGCAACCCATCTTCTTCTGCAATCTCTCTCCCCATGTGTCCTTTTCACTATAAAGCTCTAGACTCAGAGATATTTGGAAAATTTATCGGTAACGATGTAGATTAATGGTACCTTCTACTTGATGGCTACTAATCATTCAAGAAACGTTCCTTTTTTTTTTTTTTGATCTACCGTATCTCTAATTCTCTTCACTTTTCGATTTTTGCCCTTCAAATGCATGGGACTCAAATCTCGCACCAACGATACTAGAGTCTTTACCTCCCAATCCATTTATTAACAGGACCGCCTTCCCCATCCTTAGGCAAGTCAGTTTTCAAATGGGCATCTTTCTCACGAATGTGGTTGAACTAATCAATGAAGATCGTTTGACCTCCTTCTTGCATATGTGAGTTTAATGCCGTGCACTTGACTGATCCTGAATCAGCCACGTGCTTTATCGTGGTTCAAGTTTATATATATGTTATCGGTGAGTTGATATTATTATATGAAACCATGACAACAAGTGTAGACTTTCCAACGCTTCCTCTCCTCCTTTGTCCCGAGTTGTGGGTGGAAAACGTTACAAAGCAGTTGTCGGAACGCATTATTACATTCTTAAATAGTCCAGGTCAACCTTATTGCGGAAGCAAGTGATCAAACAACAAAATAGATAAAATTCTCGAGCAGAGCATCAACAAATTCTACTATAAATCAAGCGATACAACGAAGATTACAAGCATACTCGAGTTACTCAAACACTCTAAGTATTTCTCAAATTTTAATTATACCCAATAACTCATATAGTATTAGTCTCCATAATTCCTCACGAAATAATATCTCAATCTCGCGAAAGAATTGTACACAAATCATATCACAAGATTTACTCAACTTGAACACTAAATTATTGATGTAATTGCACAAATGAAATCAATGCCAAGTGTTCGCGTGAAAACCGGCACTTCAAGACCCCACGCTGCTCTTCATCAACAACGGTACATCAAGACTCCTCTATCCGAATATTTGTATACATATAGATGGGAGCCCCTTCTTCTTTGCCGACTTCACCAAGGAAAGATAATCCTTATCTTTTTATTTCTTTCTTGCACCCATGTTGACCGAGTCAAAGAAGAAGACACACTTGGACTTTCCTTTTCTTGACCATGATTTCAAGAAGCAGGAAAGTGAATTTTTCTGTTGTATATCTTTTTCTTTCCGACACAAGTTGTAACAAGTGAACAATAGACTTTCTTTCACGATAATTCCAATCTTCCAGTCCAATACCAAAATATCAAAGCCAACGTCAAATCTTCAGTAATTTTCGGAGATGCAAGATTTGGCTTTCAACTTTCTTGCTTTATGCACAATTTAATTTGGGCCGGATTTGTTCAATCGGCTTAAACTCGAGACATATTTTAAAAAACTTAATGCCTTGGGATCAGCCAAGTGATCGATAACGGAATATACGGGTGCTTCTCAAAAAGAATTTACTATTGTCTGTACACAAAAAAAATTGACCAAATCGTGGATATGAGTAGCCACAGGACTAAAGTGTCGAATATTGTCAAGCACGTGACCTATCGTCAACGACCGGTATCGATATTAGCATATATCGGTGATTACTACCGATCGATTGGCGATATACGGCGACATATGGTTAACGATGATCGACAAGGATATCGATTAGCAATATTGAGGTATGCTACAAAGGTGTCGGAAGAAAGCTGAACGCATAAGGAGGCGTCAAGATGCGATTACAAGTTTGAAGTCAGGGGAGAGCAAAGCAATTGAGGTCATGGAACAATTGGCATGCATTTTTAAAGGAACTACTGTCTGAAGGCAAGATCGTGATGTCACGAGAATATGAGCACAAAACTTTTGGAAATAAAGGAACACAGCTACAAATGCAAGAAAACTACTCAAGGACGGTTATGGCATAACCACTACAAATGCAAGGGATAATTTTGACTTTTGAGAAGTCAATATCAAAAAATTTAAAAAGACAAGGTCGTGGAGAATACTCTAATACCTCCACTAACATGCAAACTAGACCGATAGCACGTGGAATTGACAAGTAGAAAACCTCGCAAGCAAAGTAAAACCAAGGCGGAATCCAGGACTGATGTAGAACTCTTTATTAGCGGGCCAAACTTAACAGTTAATTATGTGTTTACGTAGATGTCAATAATCTTACGTCTTCATTTATTTCACGAAAAATGGATGATTTGAAAAACATTTTTTCTAGAAATGATCGCTTGAATCACTTACAAAAATAAATGAACAGAAAAATATTTTTATCGTCCCCGAAAATATTTAGACATAAATTATTATCAATAATGACTAATTATTTTAAGCGATACAAATTGTCATTTAAAAAAAACGCTTTTGAAATCATTTTTTTCCTATGAAACAAGCAGAGCCTAAGTTAATATTATTAGACTTATTGTGTTTTAAAATAATGGGTTATGAATGTATGATGACAGCATTTGTTTGTGAACTTCTAATTATTTCTTGATAACTGCACAGTTGTCCATAAACGGTTCGTAATCAAGGGCCAAATGAAGGAAATGTGGGCATAATTTGAAAATTTTGAAACTCTAAAGGGGGCAAAATTGAAAAATATTGCAGAACTATAGGGTAGTAGGCCATCAAACAATGAGCGGAGGCAATTGCCTCCACATCACATGGCATGCGTCCGTTCCATCACAAAAGCTTATGCAAATAGGAGAATCATGAAAAAGGATTTTTTTTTTCTAGATGTCACATCCAACATGGTCCTACCGCTACATAAATCGAGTAGACCCAAGCTGGCGGCACAGGAGTGACTCGCTCATTCGGTGTTGAAGTCAAAAGTCTGACTTAAATGTAAGTTTAGAATTCGATTACGAACTTTTATTTTCTACCTGAAGTGTCGTAATTTGGAATTGATGAAATGGAAGTATCCCTACAAACATCAACAATTAGGAGACAATGCATCAATTGAAATGTGTCATGCCCCTTTTAAATGGGAAAAGTGCCAAAAAAGTCCTAAACCTTTTGCATTAGTGCCAATTTAGTCCTAAACTTTTTTTTGGTGCCAATTCAGTCCTAAACCTTTTGCATTGGTGCCAATTTAGTCCTAAACCTTTTTTTGGTGCCAATTAAGTCCTAAACCTTTTAAATTGGTGCCAATTCAATCCTAAACCTTTTGTTTTTGTGCCAATTTAGTCCTTCCGGCCAATTTAGACCGGAATTTACCTACGTGGACGCCTGCTGGCCGGCGGCCGGTCACCGGCGCCGACGTGGCGCCGACGTGGGACAACTTTAATATTTTTTAATATTTTTTTGAATTTTTATTTTTTTCCTTTTTTTCTTTTTTTCCACCTTTTTTTTGGTTGTCTTCCTCCTTACTCTGGCCGGTCGCCGGTCCGGCGACCGGCCAGAGGCCAGAGGCCGGCGAGGGCGAGCCTCGCCTTGGTCGGGCGAGGCTCGAGCCCTCGCCGGAGGCCGCGGCGAGGGCGAGCCTCGCCATGGTCGGGCGAGCCTCGCCATGGTCGGGCGAGGGCCGACCTCGCCGGATCCGCGAGCGCTCGACCTCGCCGGATCCGGCGAGGTCGGGCCTCGCCCGACCATGGCGAGGCTCGCCCTCGCCGCGGCCTCCCGGCGAGGTCGGGCCTCGCCATGGTCGGGCGAGGCTCGCCCTCGCCGCGGCCTCCGGCGAGGGCTCGAGCCTCGCCATGGTCGGGCGAGGCCCGACCTCGCCGGATCCGGCGAGGTCGGGCCTCGCGCGAGGCCGGGCGAGGCTCGACCTTGCCGGATCCGGCGAGGTCGAGCCTCGCCCGACCATGGCGAGGCTCGGCCTCGCCCGGCGAGGCCGCCCTCCCGGTGGCCGGCGAGGTCGAGCTCGCCGCCCGGCCTAGCTGGCCGTCGCCGGACCGGCGACCGGCCGATGAAGAAGAAACCAAAAAAAAAAAGTGGAAAAAAAAAGAAAAAAAAAGGAAAAAAATAAAAATTCAAAAAAATATTAAAATATTATTTAATTTATCCACGTCAGCGCCACATCGGCGCCGGTGACCGGCCACCGGCCGGCAAAGGCCCACGCCAAGCAAATTCCGGTCAAAATTGACCGGAAGGACTAAATTGGCACAAAAATAAAAGGTTTAGGACTGAATTGGCACCAATTTAAAAGGTTTAGGACTTAATTGGCACCAAAAAAAGGTTTAGGACTAAATTGGCACCAATGCAAAAGGTTTAGGACTAAATTGGCACCAAAAAAAGGTTTAGGACTAAATTGGCACTAATACAAAAGGTTTAGGACTTTTTTGGCACTTTTCCCCCTTTTAAATCTTCTCCATAAGCAATCTTCCCCATTATTTCAACCACTCAGCGGTGGATAGAAGCACAATCACCACATGATTTTCCAAACTACAGCTGAAAGTTTTTCTTTATTTTATTTATTTATAATTATTATTGAATGAGCAACGTGATCTCCTATCATTGAAATCAGATGAGGAGCACCCTGTCCTAGTGAAATTTGAGAACAAGTTTCCTCTCATATATTTTGTATCGAAATACCTGCGAAGCGATATTCAATGGTATCATATTGTACCGTACATCATTAGAAAAAATAATCTTCCCCTATCAATTGGGACAAAAAGGAATGGACGAGAAGAAGAAGAAGAAAGTGAAAGATATGAGGGTCGACATATTGAATATGGTGACCCATCTTCATTCCTATTCCTAGATGTTCCCTTTAACCAAGTCAATTGCCATCGTGGTGTTTGGAAACATCAACTGAGCAAATTAAATGCATAAGTATACACATAGCCAATCGAATTTTTTCAAGCCTTGGTGAAAGGGTGTTGGACATACAAAATCTAAGACATTGTAACATGTCATCCTTTTCGCGAATTTATAAGATCTTGAATCTCCATTATCTGGGCAGTCCCATTCGTTTTAAATTCTCTTTTAGATAGGAACATGATTTAGATTGTGATAAGATTGTGATTCGAGATTGTAAAATTAGTAAGATCGAACAATACCTAAAACTTGTACGGATTTTAATTTCTCTCCATTTTATAAAAGACTGTCT